GAGGCTCGAGCACACGCCTTGCGGCTTGTTGGGCTTGGGCAGGCAGATCAGCGTCCCTTCGCCGAGCTGGATGGGCCGTCCTGTGGTGAGACCTTCGTTGAGCAGTTGGGCGAGCGGCATGGCGACGAGGTCGGCAACGGCCTTGAGGATTTCGGCCGGCATGTTGTCGGGGCCGCAGGCACGGTTGTTGTGGAGCGTCTTGATGGCGGCGTGAAGTTCTTCGGGTGTGATGAGCTGGTCGAGCGGTTCTGCTGTGTCGTCGGGCTGCAACACGCCGCCGACCGCGACGCCTGGAAAGATTTGACCGACCGTGTCGTCACGGGCCTCACCCGCGGCCACAAGCGTCGTAGGGCGACGACAGAAGAGCCAGACGAGCCCCCGCGCCGCCGCCTGCGCAGCCACGGACCGGCGAGCGAATGAAGAAGAAGGAGATTGCTAGTCTCTACGTATGCGAAGTCTTTGTGTAATTATGAAGATAACGCGAAACACGTTCATATATATATATATACACCGGTATGCATATCCCCAGCGAGCTGCGCCTCCCTATTCAAGTCGGATACATCGTATACAAAGATACAAGCTGTGAAATGGCAGTTTGGCAGAGAAGGCGATAGGCTCCAACGAATACAAAGATGATCCATATCAAACTTTGCTCACCTCGATTCGCATTGAGCTTATAGCCAGGACTACTGTGACGAGAAACGCGAATAAACGTCAAATCTACCACCCTCCCGCTTTGTCTTGTAAATCACGCCACGTGTCGCTGGGTCGGAGTGCTGGTAGAGCTCTTCGACGCTCATGATACACTCGGTGGAAGGCTCGACTTCGTACGGCTCCATTGCAGTAGACTTGCCGGCGGATTGTTCCTCGTTGAAAACCACGAAACGATGAGCTTTGGTCATGCGCCCAGCAGCTTCCAAATGGGCACGAAGACCAGAAAGCACCGGATCATTCTTCACGTCCTCGTTGTACAAGACAACACACATCTTCTTGTCCAGACACACAAATCGGAGAGTCTCGCGGGTCATCGCACCGATCGCTGATTTGGCAATGAAGTATTGAAGTTTGCTCGGATTTTGTGATGGAACACGACTGCTTTGGGTCGTTAAATATAATGGGATAGGACAACCGAAGCTCGGGAAGATATATCACGTGAGGACCAGCTCCACAGCGCAGTGCAGCATACTGGCAAAGGAAGTGTCGTCTGGGAGAGACCACCCGGGCAAGAGGTTTAAAGGTTTAATCAGCGCACGCGCACCGATAAACGTCCAATACTCTTTTTTGGTACCCCAATCTGAATCTGAATGCTAGGATCCAAGAAAAATGGAGTTGATGAACCACAAGCTCTTGACCATGAGCTCTGAGAGCATGCGCAGCATCAGCACAAATGCTGCATGAAGTACCGGTATACACTAGATACAAAATGTGGCTTAAGCCTCGTGTTGAGGCACCTTACCAATGCTACTAAAACTCTTCAGCAAAACACGCATGTTGCACTTTAGTTGGACGCGAGCTAGACTACAGCCTTGACATACATCAAACTAGTTAATGGTACGCTCGTTGGCAACGTGGGGGCAGTGGTACAGGCATGGTGTCGTGCATCTTCTTGGTGCGCGGGAGGATGACACCAGCACATACTTGTCTTTTGCTGGCAACTTTTTCTTGTAGAGAATGAGAATGAAGCGGTCGTGCGCCTTCATGTGGTCTTGCTGTTGTAAGTAGTTGCGAAGCTCCGCGAGTGTGCTGGGTTCAAGCTTCGCATCGATCGCAAGGCGCTTGCCGTGGATGCGCAAAAAGATGGTTGGCGCGCTGCCCATTGTTTTGAGACACGTAGAAATCCGCTGTGAACGAAGTCGAGAACGGTGCAAGAGATGGGTTGGAGGCGTTCTTGATCGTTGAGACGAGGGATTGTCCAACAGAAGATTTCCAGCTACCAACTACACGAACGGTGTGGCGAATGTGCGACAATGGTTGTACAACAATAGTGCCCCTTGAAGCCGATTGAAAATGCTTTTTTCGTCAGCGTGCGTGTTGGCCAGTCTTGAAGGCGACACAACTTCGGCTCTTCTCGACCTATGACGTGGCACAACCTGCACGACTCGTCAAACGGCGTGGCGAAAACCACGTGCCAGTGCTTTCTATTGGGAAAATATCGCTGACACGAGTTGACACGAGGGTCGTTCTTGCTGGGCGGGGCCAACCCGCAACAGCAAGCTATTTGAGCCCATATCGCATAAGCATCCGAGTTCTCGATGAACGGTATGGTACAGCGCTCCCTCGTCCCAATCAATTCTTCTCGCTTGCTATCCCAGTATCAAACGTGATAATGGCATGCTAGATGTATTCAACTGCAGCCAGGTAAACGCCTCCTTAGACGGCAATGATACCGTCGGTGCCCTTCAAGCAGTCGAGCGGCATTATGCCTTCACTTTTGCGATCGACAGTGTACACGCGGGGAGTCTTGTCTCGTGTTTCATTGAACTTGAAGCAATCAGAGTCGGTCATGAAGCCCCGAGACGTGAGCAGATCGCGAGCTGTGGCCACCGTTGGGAGTGGGTAATTTGGAAGCAGCGTGACATAGTCGTAGGCGATATGGCCATAACGCGTTTTGATGCGGAAGTAGTACAAGGGCATGCTGCGGTGACCGTTCGATTCCCTTGTGATGTGCTGTCGCAATTTGTCATCCATCCTTGATGGGTCTGGACGGATCGTTCCAGAAATGACGGTTCTGGACCACTTTCTTTTGAATTAACCCAGGACTGAATAGACCCCAAAAGCCATCGGTACGCTACAAGTGATCGTTTTGCACGTCTGCGGTGACCACCTTGACGCAGCTCCGGAGGTCTCTCAAACGCTTCTTTTGCAAGGTCGTGGTATGACCTGAGAATATGTAGTCCGATGCCATCACATCCAACGGCGGCACCAGCACCATTTATTGTTTTGAGCTCAGCATAGTCCTCACCCATCACGTTGCCGCATTTTATGGTCGCAGCGAGGCTCTCAGTTGCAAACTTTGAGGGATGACCGACTTGAAGCTTCGCCTCTTTCTGATCGACAACAAGGCGCTTGCTGTGTATTGCGAGGAGCAAGACCCTACGCTTGCGGCGGTTCGACTGCTCCTGGAGTCCCGGGAACACATGACAAAGAACCATCGTTTCGTCCTCTACCACGCCCCAGCCGTGCGCAGTTTGTATGACAAAACTGCCCCCTCGTATGCACCGTTCGAGCTCGATCCTGTTGATGAACGCACGATCACGCTCAAGTCTCTCTTCCAATGCCACGAATATGGCAAGCGCGGTGTGATCCGTCTCACAACGTGGACGAAAGGGCAGGTCGGCAACTTATAACCTTCGTAATCCAACAAGGATGGTGCAGTAGCTCTTGTTAAGTGTCTGTGGTCATCCAAGAGGTGTCTTGTTGTAGTGAGACGCCAAACGACCGATCGCGCCGCCAAAGCGTCGAACTTCTTGCTTACGATTCCTCTTTGACGGCATAAGGCACAACTTGTTAGCTCTCCCTAATCTAATGATCTTAGCTCTTCATAGTCTAATGATAAAGTCAAGCGCTCGTTTGCCGTCCTTCGTATCGCGCTATTCGGGAGCCACCATAACAATTCCCATGCCTCGAGTCCGTGTACGCGGGCCGGACACCTGAGTAGTACGGGCTCATCAGGTGCAACAACGGCCAGGGAAACCTCCTCGCAATTACGAGGCCACTGCCACTGCCACTGCCAAGCCATTCGGCAACCCAGCTCAAATCGTCTTTGACGCAACTCTTTTCAAACCAACAAGGACCAGCTTTCCAGCCGTGGCGAACCGGTTTCACGTCGTCGTTTCATTGCCCCAACACCAGAGAACTCGGCAATCAAGGAGATAATGCAAGTGTTTGTGGCTCCGCACACACACGACATACGCGTGGGACCGCCACCGGTCGCCTTGCGTCTCCACCTCGTCGGCACGGTTTACGTGGCCGCCTCCGTGGCGCTGAGCGTCTTTGTCCTTGACGCGTTCTCTGCGTACACGGCGACCGACTATTTGTGGCCCGACCTTTTTACGACCTCGCCCGTGTTGCGACAGCTTCTCAACACCCACCTCTCGACACTGCCCTACTCGACAGAGTACAACCTCGACATCTTTGCCCCCTCGGTCGCGCTCCTCGGGGGGCTGTCGTCGGGTGTTGACGCTGTCTACGTCCGCCGGGTCCTCTACAACGACCTCACAACCTTGCCATCGGCAATTCAGAGCGTAAGAACGCTCTCCACCGATCAAGTGTGGAGGCTTGTCGCGCCGTACTGCTGGGTCGACTTTGGAAAAAACTGGGAATTTGCCTACTCGGCCGCGCGCCAAGCGCGCTGTGCAGCGTCCGAGACAACGAACGCCGCCATGTACTTGGAGTCAATCCTGCGCAACATCGATTTTGACGCGTGGCGGCAGTCGACGGGCGGCCTCTTTGACACTCGCATCGGCACTCCGATCGCAGCGACCGGAGCGAAAGGCGCCGACTGGCTGCGTACGTTGACCGCCCACACGCTCGTTTCCATCAGCGACGAGGTGCAGCTGTGGCGCTCGCACGGATGCCAGCTCTTTGCGCTTCAATATGGCACGGGCACGGGCTTTGGCCTCCTCGAGAGTGTCCTTGTTGAGAATGCCCTCGGCGTCGCGGTCCCCATGTCGCTCAAGAGCATCCCCACGACGAGTCGGCTCATGCATAGGAAAACGTGTCTTTTCTATGACCTCTTTTTCAACGACTTGTACGCCGCGAGCGAGAACCAGACGATGGTTCGGGGTACGTTCAACTACTTTGCCGACACGACGCCCGATGCGATGGAGTGCTTTATCAATGGCTGTCCACTACCGCTACTCGGTCAAGCCCTCCACGACCAAGTCGGGTGGCTTGCCGCCCTCGATGCCAAGTGGGTCCTACCTCCACCGGCGCTTGTTGAAGCCATGCAACGATTCCGCGCCGACTTGACGTCGGCACTTGTGAATTCGCCGGCGCTACACGCCCTCGTTGCACCACCCGTGTTGCTGCAACTGCGGCCGCTGCAGTGGGCCGACCCGACATTGCGCTTTTACAGTGGCAATCCGTGGTGTATCTTTGGCGCGTCAGTGGCATTTGTGCAGCAGACGTTTGGCTTTGATGATGTGTGTCAGCGCCAAGCGCCATTAACGTCGTCGTTGCGCGTCGACGCTGGAGTCTTTGCGCTGATGCAGCTCGGGGGCGTGCGCAGCGATGACGTCTGTGTCGCCGCCGTCGACGCAGCGGCGTGCGAACGTGCCTTCCATGCGACGGAGGGCTTGGCGCAAGCATTGTCGTTGAAGGCACCGAATGTGACCCATTTGGTGGACCCCAGTATTGGCCTCTTTCAGTACGTACAGAACCAGACCCAGAGTGCGTCCCAGATCCAGATCCAGATGCAACCGTTGCTCGCCCCCAGTTTTGCTTTTTTTGGCTGGACAATGCTGTACGAGTGGGCGTTGGGGCTGCGGGAGGTCCTTTCCCTTCAAGGTGATGTTCAAACGGTCAATATCATTTCGGTGGCGTACCCCCCGGTCGTCTCGGACGCGTCCCCCGCACCAGCAACGCTGGGACCGTACCTGTGGTACTCGGCGGCCATGACGACCGTGACGCTCGGCGTCGTCAGCGCGCTCACGCTCTGTCTCGGGTGCGCTCTCCGGTCGACGTTGTGGCTCATGTTCAACCCCGTGGTGTCGGCTGTCTATATTGGCCGATACTTTCTGCTTGCGCGCAGCGGACTCGCTCTAGTGTGTCTTTCAACGGCCACCGCAGCCCTCTCGGCGCCGTCTGGAGCTATTCTCCAAGTGCAAACGTCCACGCGTTCGCTTTTGCTCTCGAGCGCCTTGGCTGGCGAAGGTCTCTGGCTTATCTACGTCCTCCACGAAGTCGTTGAGCCTCTTGTACGTAAATCGCATCGTGCGTCGACAGTCGTCATTCTTCTTGCGACCTGGCTCGTCCTTGTCTGCATCGATCAGCTCGCGCCAGTCATTTGGCGTGTCCAGCTCCGTCGCGAGTGCTCCATTCACAACCTCGAGACCGTCACGTGTGACAGCGGGCGCGTCGTGATTGGCAGCTGGGAACGCCTCGTGCTTCTCACCAGTCTTCTAGTCGGAGCATGGCTCTTGGCCGTCCTAGCGCCGTGCCAACGTCGCCTGTCCCAACCATTGCACGAGCTTTTGCCCCCGACGCTCGCCCACTACCACGTCGGCGAGACCCCCGAGCTCGACACGATTTCAGCCGTCATGTGTGGTCTCATAGCCTTTGACTATCGCGGTGTTGGCTACGTTCTCGACACCAAACTCTGGCGGGTCGTGCGCTGTCAAGAATACGGCGTTCGTCGGCGCCGACAGTCTCTGCGCTTCCATGCCACAAATGCCCCGAAAATGCCACTGCGCCTCCGCCCATTTCGATACAAAAGCGGTTGGTTCCAGCACAGTTCGACGCTTCTCGGGCTCGGGTACCTTGTCACGACGCTCACGAGCAATATCGCGTACCTCTCTGTCATGTCCGACTCGCTCGCCAACGACTTTGGCTGGTCGGGCTTCAACACGTCCGGGATGCACGCGTATCTCGCGACAACCTTTACGCAGTTGTCACTGACGTCGACCGAGATCCTGCCGTCTGTGGCGCTCGACACACCAGCGCTGGGTATGCCCATCTACCGCGACTCGCACGGCACGACTGAGTGGCACGCCAACCTCGCCCGTCGCGAGCTCTTCAATGAAGACACGATCGCGCTGCATTCCGTGGTGCGCGGTCTCCGCTCCATGGATCCGTGCCAGCTGCCGTGGATGTTTACGCAGTACTGCTACCTCGACTTGAACCGGAGCTGGACCATGGCTAGTACCGCCGCGCGTCAAGCCCGCTGCGATGCCATGATGCAAAGCAATGGCGCCGTGTACCTTGGTGCGCCGCTTCGAAACGTCCGCGACTGGGATGCCATGCGCGCCTGCTGGGGCTCGTCGTTTGAATCCGGCTTTCTGAGCCTCCTTCAGCAGACATCAAGCGGACAGGACTGGTGGCGTGCGACGACGACGAATGCCCTCACGATCGATGCTGAAGTGGCTCTTTGGCGCTCGCACGGCCTCTCGACGTTCCGGCTGCAGTGGCAAAACTACAAAACCACGGGGTACCACGATGCCATCGAAATTGCTACCGCGTGGGGGCAGCGCTACGCGCTCACGATGGCGCATGCATCCCCCGCGATGCACACGGATCGACAGACGTCGATGCGTCTCTACTGGTCCTTTGCCAGTGATCTCTGGGCCGTAGCGCACAACGTCAGTGGCATTGGGGGACGATCCCTTTTGCGGGAAGCCCCAACCTTTGCCTTTGCCAACACCACGTCCGAGCAGCTCTTGCTCACGAATACAACGCTTTTGGCGCCACTGCAAGTGGGCCTGAGTCGGTTGCAAAGCACGTTGGGACCGTTTGGTAGTATCGACACAGAGTACATTTCGGTGCCGAGCTCGCTACGCCACTTGTACGGCACGTTTCTGCAAGCGCTGGCGACCCTAACCCTCACAAACATGACAGCCCAAGAGCGCTTTGTCCAACTCCCGGCCAAGTCGTCGATCTGTGCGCTGCCGATGGAGCTTTTGGCCGAGACGACGCTCGTCAGCGTCGGCGGCAATCTCATTTGCGGCAGCGACCTCGCCCCCATCGCCATTCAGTACGGACCCAGCACCTTTGTCTCGTTCGACTCGGATTGCGATTGGTGGGTCACAGAAACAATCGAAGTATCCACCCCGGCGCTCCTCTTTGCCCTTGTTGGCGTCGACACGACCGTCGACAGTGACGGTCTCTGCACTTTGGATGTGTTTTCCGAAGCCGACTGCCGCTCTATTTACGATGCCATACAGACCTTCCGGGTCGAGCACGCAGTAGCTTTTGAAGCGTTGGCCACGCCCGCGTCATTGGCACGTAGCGCCGTCAACGACCTGGACGTGGTGCTCGTCCAATACATAACACCCAGCACTCTCTCGGCCACGCAATTGTACCAGCGAGGTCTCTTGAACGGCACGGACGACGCTGCCTGGCCGTTCGTAGGGTGGTGCTACCTCTTTGATTGGGTCCAGGGCGCGCGCGAAGTCGTTTCGTTTCAAGGGGACCGCGGTCAAGTGCGCACCATCACGGCGGCGTTCCGGCCGTTGGCGCTCGTGCTCGACCCGACCGAGATTCACACGACCCTCAGCTACTTTTGCCGGAAGAGCGCCCAGTACGTCACGCTCATTCTCATCAGCGTCCTTGTGCTCGTCCTGTGCTACACCATCACGTCGTTTGGTGCAATCAACGCTCTCAACCTCTTGGAGCTCAACCGGATCGTCGGGCATGTCTGGGTCGGCCGCCTCCTCCTCGTCGTGCGAAGTACGACGGCGCTATGGCTCTTGAACACGAGCCAATTGACGCTCGAGACGATCGGGCATGGCGCCCGCCTTGTCGTGCCCGTGACGCCATGGTACAAGGTCGTCCTTGCCGCGTCCGAACTCACGTGGCTTGTCTACGTGCTGAACGACCTGCTGAGCAGCGTCACGCAGCAGTACACGCCGTCGTATGCGTGGAAGAGCTCGCTCTTGACGTGGGCGATCGCTGTGGGCTGCCAAGCGCCGCCGCGCTACACGGCGTATTTGCAACGCGCGTGCACGTACATCGACATGGATCGCGCGCTGGACTGTACAACGGGCTACATCACGATTGGCCGTCTCGACGGCGTATTGACGGGCGTTTTGATTGCGCTGGGGGCCGTCGTGGGCACCGCGGTGCTCGAGCGGTGGCGGGCGTTGCCGCCGCGCAAGCTCCGCACACCGTACTTGAGCTCGGCGAGCTACTTTACGCTGGTGGTCCAAGCGAACGACGTCGAGTGCGAGATCGATGCTGTGTTTGCCCTCATGGCCGGGCTCGTGTCCGTGCGCTGGCGGCAAATCACGTACTTTTTCGATATCAAAAGCTGGCGTCTCCACACGTGCTAAGCGATTTACAAAATAGCCTCGGATGCAACCCATACACGCGTAGTTGCATCAATACGCGCACCAAAAAGCTCTTATTTTTGTGGACGCCATGAGCCTGCAGCAGTACGACGGCGTCGACACAAATGCCTCATTTCGCAATGCCCTCAAGGAGCATCGGCCAGTATATGAAGGAGATGCTATGCCTCTCTCACCAAATGCAAAATCGGCGCTACGATCTTCTATCTTGCTGGCCACAGCCACAGAGAGGCAGGAAGCACATAACTGTGCACGGCCTTGGAAGATCGTCGCCACTGCCTTACTTTGCCGAACACAATGTGACGTCGGCCAGGTTGTATGCGATGGCAAGCCGAATCCAGAGTTGTGGAGGGGTAGAACGATCGCGCTAATACTAGTACCTCGTCGCTCTCATCGAGCATTGGCCTGGATACTAGTAGTGCTGTCAAATCGTAAAATGTACTAGTACTTGGGTCGTATCGGTCCTATCGTCTGGAATGGGCGATAGTATCAATTTATCAACTTCGCGGCCGTTGTCGACAAAACCGATTTCGCGGATTCCGGAAATATGGCCATGCGACCGGCCGCGGGCTTGGCCAAGCGGAGCGAGGCAAGCGAGCCGTTTGGGAAGAAGAAGCTCGGGCGCAACGTCGAGATGTTCATTGTGCGCGAGGACCAGCTTCACAACGCCGTGCAGCACGTCAAGGCGTCCGACCACCTCAAAGGCCGCGCCGTCTGGGAGGACCGCCAGGGTAAGCGGGGCATGGTCAACCAGCGCTCGCGCACCGACAAAAAGTATTTTGCTCCTCTTTGCTATATCGGAATCTGAATCCGAATCTGAATGCTAGGATTCAAGAAGAAATGGAGCTCGCGAACCGCGAGCTCTTGGCCGTGCGCTCCGAGCGGATTCGCCACTACTACGCAAAGTGCTACATGGAGTAAGATCTCATTTCTCCGACATGTTCCATGTGTCGTATGCCAATATGCAATGTAGATGGGACCAGGAGCTCAACGCCCGTGGTCTGGCCATTGTTCGGGAGCGCGACTAATACCGCCATCAAATGCACGTGCCGATCAACGCCATAATGCAATAACGAGTTTAGGGCACAGAACGTATTTCCTAGTCCACGTACGCAGCGTCCGATCTGCGCATCGAGTTTCTTCTGGATCCGCTTGAGCACCATCACAGAGACGGCCTTGCGGATGCAGTTGAGCAGCACGATCGGGCGGAGGCTCGAGCACACGCCTTGCGGCTTGTTGGGCTTGGGCAGGCAGATCAGCGCCGAGCTGGATGGGCCGTCCTGTGGTGAGACCTTCGTTGAGCAGTTGGGCGAGCGGCATGGCGACGAGGTCGGCAACGGCCTTGAGGATTTCGGCCGGCATGTTGTCGGGGCCGCAGGCACGGTTGTTGTGGAGCGTCTTGATGGCGGCGTGAAGTTCTTCGGGTGTGATGAGCTGGTCGAGCGGTTCTGCTGTGTCGTCGGGCTGCAACACGCCGCCGACCGCGACGCCTGGAAAGATTTGACCGACCGTGTCGTCACGGGCCTCACCCGCGGCCACAAGCGTCGTAGGGCGACGACAGAAGAGCCAGACGAGCCCCCGCGCCGCCGCCTGCGCAGCCACGGACCGGCGAGCGAATGAAGAAGAAGGAGATTGCTAGTCTCTACGTATGCGAAGTCTTTGTGTAACTATGAAGATAACGCGAAACGCGTTCATATATATACGTACGCAGCGGTAACAATGTTGAGCCAGTAAAAAAGTAACCATTATTACGCATGTATTGAGCAAAGAGGTCATTGGGTCTTCGCTCCACCGGTTCACCAACTGCCGTGTCGACGCATATTGCGGCGAGTGGGAAGGTACACTGGTAAAAATCTTCATTCCTTCGACGCCTCCGCGAAGACTTCGGTTCCTTCAGATTCCCTTCATTTGGCTCAACTTTCTGACGTGAATGAACTAGAACAGGACCGGCTTCGAGTCGGCATGCATTTTTTATGGTACTCTAGCCCATTGGGTGGGAACCGGTGCGCCATACAATATCGTCTGCCCTTTTGCCGCAGAGCTATGCAGTCGATAGTCTAGTCTAGCAGCTATCTCGTATGGCTTGCGTCGACTCTGGCGTGCGGTTGGGGCTTCGGTTGAAGTTTTGTCGACGTGGTCCACGGTTCAACCGCGCGATCTTTGCTGCGTATCCGGATCACCATTTGGTTGGTGCCCTACCCGTATCCGGATACGTATCCGGACTAGCTTCGACGAAAGCAAGGTCATTTGCAATATCTTCGTTTGGACCAGCATGGACGCTACGACAGAATCGACGCCTGCGCCGCGCGCGTGCTACGGCTGCGGCGAGGTCGGCCACCAGCGCCGCGACTGCCCTACGGGCGGCGGCTCGGCCCCGCGCGGCAACGCTACGTGCTATGGGTGCAACAAGCCCGGCCATCTGAAGCGCGACTGCCCGACGAGCGCGCACTCGGTGCGTGCGTGCCACAACTGCGGCGGCACCGACCATTTGCGCCGCGACTGCCCCGAAGCCGAGCGCCCGCGCGCGTGCTTCAACTGCGGCGAGACGGGTCACGTGCGCAACGATTGCCCGAAGGAGCTCCAAGACACGCGCAAGTGCCACAACTGCGGCGGTTCCGGCCACTTGCGTCGCGACTGCCCCGAAGGCAACGACGCGACGACCGACAAGTGCTACCACTGCAACGAGTCGGGCCACTGGGCGCGTGACTGCCCCACGAAGCAGGCGTAAACCGGCGACCGACGCAGCATGGGCGGAAGGCGTGCGCTTATTTATTTGCTTTGACTCGCTGGACGGGAAAAGTGAGTGAGTGAAAGGGCTTCCTCGTGCGTCGTGCCACTGAGCATGAGGCATGCAATGGCCTTTCGTAACCAACGATGAAATACAACAAGAGTGTGTTCGTCCTAATTCTCATGGTCTGCATGTCGCGTTGCCCCTGCCGTGATGGCCATCTTGTCGTCGTCAGCCAGCGCGAGCTATCTGGCCAGACATCACGCTTCACGCCATCTCCAAGACAAAGTCAACAGCGTGACTGCCATGCGGCTCATGCCAGCGCTTCGTCGAGGACCGCCCATGTGGCGTCGCGACGGAGCCCACAGCCATGGCACGGCGCCCACTGCCCACACCACGTCGGCCACAGCCCATGGCACGCTGGCTGCATGCCATGGCCATTCGTACATATCACCTGCGCCCTACTGCGGTCGTCCACTTGCGGCGGCAATGGCGTTAGCCCAACGTGGCGTCATGGGCGCGGGTACCGGGGAAGACTGTATTGTTGGAGGGTGTTATATCAAGCGCATCACTGGCATTGCATGCGTGGATGGCGGCGGCGGCGATCGTGTGGCTTAGTGCCACTTGCCTTCTGCCTTGAGCTTCTCTTCCCACTGGATCCGATCCTTTAACCGCATGTCACGGGCGTCGAGGGCGCGGTCCCAGTCGTCGCGCAGGATGAGCTTCTTCTGCGTCCCGCGGGCGTACCAGCGGTTGACGCCGCCGATCGCGAGGCCCGAGATCGTGAACATGCCCGTGATGATGGCGAGGCCCGGCAGCACTTGGTACGGCATGACTGTCGTCGAGATGTCCAGACCACGAATACTTGACGCCACAAGTCAGTGGTGACGCCAATTTTATTGCATCTCGGTGCTTCTTTTTTTGCATTTTATTTTAAATAATTTAGAATACCATACCGTTTCGCTATCAATATGCATTTAATTCAAGTGTCGGGGATTAAAAGAGAGTTGTGCAGGTCATTAAATACGTTTTAGCGCCTCGGATTGGTCGAATCCATGACGCGATGCGAGTGGCTGAAATCGTACCGTTGGAGCTTGTGGATTGGTCGCTTGGAGATATATTTAGACCAATCCAACGACGCGTGCAAAGGTTCGACGGGATATTGGCGCGAGTGAGCACAGCTCGCGGTGGCAGGAGGAAGTGAACATGCGACGATGGCCTCGCATCGACACTACTGTAGTTTTTTTGTTTTTAAGTAAAAGGAATAAGGGGATTAGGGTCAATGGGCAGGTGGTTGGCTCGTAAAGTCGGCGCCGGCACCAACTTTGAACTTGACGGCAACGGATACTGCAGATGCAGGTCCGTCGTGCAAGCATCACATAGTCAGTAGAGCCACGAAGGCAGGGCGTGGATCTTTCCAACAGACGAGACGGCCAACCAACGCACTTGAGTGGAAATGTTCCATAAACGCGTGTCCGGCTGCCACGTCATACTGGTTCCACCGCACACAAGCCAGTAGTCGCGAAACGGTGCTGTTGTGAAGAAGATGCCGTGCGATCAGTGCCACGGCACCAACACGATGATGCTCTTGCAGCGCGAGCTTGTGGTTTGCGGCGACTGCGAGCACGTGTCGAGCACCAAGAACCCGACGTCGCAGCCGACGTTGGCCATCTACGAACGGCCCAAGCTCCACATCTTCCTCTCTTGTCGGCTCATGGTTCCGAAACCTGTTGTCTTACCAAGCGTGTAGACGGCCACGATCGCTACCAGCAGCTCGCGATGCGTCTCAAAGACCAGTGTACGAGCATAAAGAATGTTTGGCCGACCGAATGTTGCGCTAGTACAATCCCGCGGACATTTGGTATGGGTGGACGTCGAGAAGCTCACGCCAGGTATCCCGCAAGTCGAGTCTTTGACCGAAACATGCGTATTTGATTTATAGGATGCGACTGGGAAGAAGGCATCGCGAATGGCTTGACGTGGGCCAAGGAAGCGCAAGAGAACGGGCGGGTCTTGCTGCTCATGACGCCGCATGCGCTGCGCCGTCCCGACGGCTACTGCCTCAACGAGATTGCCCGAGGTATCCTACTGCTCCCGTTGCAAATAGCAAGCTCACATCTTGTGGCAGCGACGCAACTCAAGCTCCATATCTTTCCCACGCTTGTCTGCGAGAGCGAACCGCCTCCAGCGATCAACATGCTGCCGTATTTTGATATGCAAGACTGCGTGCCATCGCTCGAGATTGCGCAGACGCTCGACAGCAAGAGCCCCGAGTGGCTTGCGGCCGTCAACTCGCGTTTGAACTCGCCACAGTTCCACGCCAAATCGCTCCAGCTCTTCTCGCTGCTCGAAATGGTAGCTGTCATTTACACTATTTCCGTTCCATGACGTGGCAACGTAGTGTGACAGCATGACCAATAACATGGTGACGGTCGTCGCCGGGGTCGAGAACCTCGGGCTCTTTGAAGCGCACGCCAACAGCACCAAGATCGGGCACGTTCCGACGTACCGCAAGATCTTATCGCCCAAACACGCAAACCCGTCGGAACAGTCGTTCCGGGAGACGCCCAAGCACCGCGGGTCGGGGTTTGGCACGCCGCTCGTGCCCGCCGACGAGCCCCGGGGCGCTTCGCCGGCCGAGTCGACCAAGTACAGTTCCCTTGCTATCTGATCGCATTGATGTTGAACGATTGCAACCGCTAGGTATGTGTTTGTCTTTGACGCCACGAGCGCGCCCTTGGCAATGAAGCTCCACGCCGACTTGACCGCCGAAGGTATCCGGAGATGCGCTGTACACAATATTGTCCTTTACTTGACGCATTCGTACACTAGGGTTTCTTATTCACGCGCACTGTGCGCCGTCGCCGCTGCTGCCCCACGCACGCCGCGACGCCATCACGTGGGCAGAAACGGGCAAAATGATCTTGTTTCTGACGCCACAAAGCGTCGGTCGTCCCCATGGTAGAGTCGAATTTTCTATTCTCTTGCTTGCACTATGCAGGAAACGACTAACGAGGCATGGTCAGGCGTGTGCTTGAACGATATTTCCGCGGCCATGTCGTCCAACGTGGGCTTTGTCCCGCTCATGATTCGGCAGTGCGAAATCCCGTTGAGCATTTGCCGCATCCAGTGGCTCGACCTCTCCGACTGTCTTATCGACGTCAACGGCGTCAACGGTGTCAACGACGCCAAGTACCCGCAACGGCTCGCACAGATCGCGACGGCGCTGCGTGGCAAACTCGATCACGATGGGCTTCAAGCTCGTCTCTTCAGCATCTTTTCGCCCTTTTCTTTCCAAAACCAAGTACCATTTCATGAATTCTCATGAAAATTATGGACATTTTTTGTCCAGATTAGCAAGTACACGCAAGGCTTTGCCGGCCGCGAGTGGGTTTTGCACCAGCTCGACCAATGGAAGCAAACACACGACCAAGTGTTTTGGATCACGGGTACAATATATAGTACGTCATTGGTGAATACATGGAAACACTCTGTCCTAGGGCAAATCGGGACGGGCAAAAGCGCGTTGGCCGCGTACATCATACAGAGCCGCCCTGAAATCCGAGCCTTTCATCTCGTCTGCAAGGAAGACGAACAGACGCAGAGCCACCGCCGGTGCATCTTGAGCTTGGCGTACCAGCTCACGACGCAGCTACCGGAATACGCGTCATTCCTCCAGTACGGGATCTCGATAGTCCATTCCCAGCGAGTAAACACTATGTCTTATACCATGGAATAGGCAAGGAAGTCCGCTGGAAGAAGTCGTGCCGGTCTCGACCGTTGTCGAGCTCCTCGATATCTTGCTCGTCGCGCCATTGAGTGCGATTGCCGAGCCAGCAACGACACCCTTGGTATACGTCAATATATCGAATGGATATTGTGATCCAAAGACAATGCTAGGTCATCCTTCTTGATGGCCTCGATTCGCTCGAAGATACGCAAGAGACGGACAACTGCCTCGTCTCAGCGCTGCCAGGGCTCTTGCAAAAGCTGCCGTCGTGGGTGCGTGTCATCTTGACGAGCCGCGAAGATCCCGTCGTCATGCGCAAGCTCCAAGGGTACACCACTCTACACCATCCTTTTGTTCAAATGCTATTGCATCTGTAGGTTTACGCCCCAAATTGCGCTCGACAAATGTGTCGACAACTCTCGGCAAGACATTATGAACTACCTCCAGAGGGCGCTCGTCCCCTACCTTCCCAGCGTTCGTCATCGTGTCAACCATGCAACGCATACTATCATCATGTGTCTAGTCCACGGGGGGCGTCGTGCCGGAAGCGACGCTGCAGTTCATTGCGGGGCGCGCCGAAGGTAGAACGCGATGCAACGACTCATCGTGACCTGCTTCTGCGCATAGGACTTTTCTTATACGCGAGCCACATTGTCCACGCGTTGTCGCAGCATCGACTGACGCTCGACCACTTGGAGGGCTTCCCGACCGGCATGGGCGGCTACTTGCGCCAGTTTTTCGAGAGCCAGTTTACGCCCGAGCACTACAAGGTGTCGCATCCTTTGTGGACATATTGTCTTCATGAGGTCTAGGAACACATTCGGCCGCTCCTAGAGGTGCTCTGCGCTGCGTACGAGCCATTGACGCTGGACATGCTCCGCGCGATCATGCAGTGGGACGTAAGTTCTTGTTTTCGTCCAAGCAATTCGAACGTTATTCATGGCATCTCGCTAGTCGTACGTCCAGCATGAAATGCTCGCAAGCTTCAAGTCCCTGCTGTACGTCACCGACTCGAACGTGCTCAAGCCGTTCCATACGTCCGTGCTCGAGTGGCTTCAAGACAGCAACGCAGCCGGGCCCTTCTTTGCCCGCGTCGAGTACGTTACGTCTGCGCACGTAGTTTTTCAAATGCATTGGCATCTGTAGGCACGGCCATGAGCGCATCGGTCTCTGGGCCTGGAAGGAGTACAGTACGGTACTCAAGGCGACCACGGACGTCTCCAACATCAAGTACACTGACACGACTATCTTGGTCGATGGTTGATCGTCAAGTAGCTTTGAGCTCGAGCCAAGCAGCGGGCCCGACGTCGTCGATCAAAACCGCGGACCGATCTACATCATCCGCCACGCACTCAACCACCTGCGGGTACGAACCGCCACTTCATGCTCCAAGCATCAAGTCGAGTTGCGTGCAGGAAGCCAACACGGAGGACAGCATTCGTTGCATGCAGAATTTCTCGACCGATGAAAAGTTTCAGCTCGCACGTCGCCTTATCACGTTGCGGCAGTCGGGGCTCGAGAGGTGCGAAGACTAGTCGCACGCATCTTTATCGTCCGCGTTCCTAGTTTTTTCCACGGCGATATGGACCGCGGGGCGTCGCAAGCCGTGCTTTTGCGGGTACGACCGTGTTTACTATGACATCATAACAATATCCTCTGCACTTAGGTGGGGACGCCGGGTGCCTTCTTGATCCGGTACAGTGCCAACCAAAAGAGCTATTGCGCGTCCTTCATCGACAAGATCGTCGATGGCCAGCCGCAAATCAAGCACAACGTCATCTACCACCTCGAATCCGTGAGGCCACCCGCTGCGTGGCGTTCGCTTCAACGTGCGCATTTAGGGTGCGTACTCGGCGGTGCAACCCAAGGACGTTCAGCCAACGACGCCCATCTTCTCGGATCTGCTCAGCTTTGTGGAGGCGTATCAGCGCAAAGGCGTGTTGCGCACGGCCATTCCCAAAGGTTCGGCGTGATCACGGCCTCAACTTTATTTCTGCCTATCAAATCGTTCCAAACAAGTAATACATATATACAGCCTACAAGACTTTGGGGCTGCAAGTCGCTAGAAACATGTGCATCGTCGCTAGCTAATTAACAGTGAAGAATCTACTGTCACGACCTCCAATAGGGTTCACCCTTTACATCACAAAGGTCCACTCAAGAATGATGGTCATTGAGACCACCATCTTCCGCACCGCTCTCGAGTCGCACTGGTCCCGCAAGCTTCTGAATCACCGAGAAAAATTTACACAAGTGCTTACGCGCCGTTATCGCCTTGTCATAACTCGTGGAATAGCATGTGCTCGTCACCACGTCCAGGGTTGTACTGAGCGGGTCAGTCCAACTCCAAACGTCTGTTGCTGCTATTTTTGAAACGACTATAGGCATTGTTCAATCGACCATGGTGCAGGCAATCATTGTTGTGGGCGGTGGCTACTCGGGCATTGAGTTTGCCCAAGCGCTCGCGTCCGAGCTCCCACCCCACGTAGCTGAAATCACCGTGATCGACAAGAACACGTTTACGTTCCACCACGATGCCATTCCTCGCGCTTTCGTCGAACGCGCCTTTGTGCCCAAGCTCTTTGTGCCCACGGACCGCGCCGTGCCTCAGTACACCACCATCGTGCATGGGCTCGTTGACGTCATCTCGAGCGACAGCGTTCAGGTGCATCCTCTCGTCGACGGCCAGCTCGACGGACACGCATACCAAATGCACTACGACTACCTCGTCCTTGCCACGGGCAGCAGCTACCCCGCGCCCATCAAGGTGCCCGGTGACGTCTACAGCCGCGACGCCATCGCCAACGCCATCTACGACGCCCACGACCACATTGCCAAAGCGTCCAGTGTGCTCGTTGTCGGGGGCGGCAGCGTCGGGTGCGAAGTTGCCGGTGAGATCGCCGTCGCCTACCCGACGACTCAAGTCACTCTGGTTGACGGCCACGAACACTTGGTCGCTGGTGCGAAAATGACGCCCGAGTTTCGCTGTCGGCTGAAAGAGGCGCTGGAAGCCATTGGTGTGCGCGTCGTCTTGGGCGAGCGCCCGGTCGAACCGCTCCGAGCTCAGTCGTACACGCGGCAAACGACACTCCTCTCGAGAGGCACGGTGCTCACAACCGATGTCCAGCTCCTCTGTGCGGGCATGGCCCCAAACACAGATCTGATCGCGCAACTGGATCCCGATCTGGTGACGCCGGCCGGCATCAAAGTCAAGCCCTCAATGCAGCTCGACGATGACCGCTACACCAACATCTTTGTCATTGGCGACGCGAGCAACCACCCGTCACCAAAGACAGCGCACATTGCTGGCGACCAAGCCGAATTCTTAGCCGCAAGCTTAGTCCAGAAGATACTCCACGGAACCCCCGTCGGTGCATTTGACGCAGGCCCGACAGAAGGCCTCATGATTCCGATTGGACCTGAGGGCGGCGTCGCGCAGCTTCTCAACGGTGTCGTTGAAGGCGCCTGGCTCGTGCAAAAGAAGAAGCACAAGGACTACAACACACAGCGGCTTTGGACCCACTGGAATGCGACGCTTTCAGCGCTCTAAGAGTGAATTGCGCCACGTCCGATATTTCATTTTTGACTTTTTGATAACTAAATACCTACTAGTAAACCAGACATGTGTCACTTATGTGCATCCTAATCTTGATTTGGATCTGGATCGATCCACCGCGAACTCGTTGTGGTCTACCACCTTTTTGCGAGAATACCCAATCAAATGGCTTGAAACTCCTGTATTTGCACCAATTGTCATCGCGCACATTAAAAACCAAGGACTGCAAAATATATTATATAGTTTCGCCAATGTCATACAAATAGATTGCTATTTTATAATATTGCCCGTACATTTTAAATACGGAACGCATTTCGGAGCTGCCACGAACGCGTCCGGAACCGAGGACCGGCATCATGGACCCGCGAGCCTCCGAATTGCTGAAGCCGGACTTGGGCCCGTTACCACTCGACGCCGCCTTTGGCGACGAGAGCGCGCTGCACGAGCATGCGCCGAAGCGGCCCAAGACGACGCCCTTCCACGACGCCCATGGCCCGCCCAAGCGAGGTAGACATGCTGCTTGCGCCATGGACGCTGCATGTCATGACGTAGTGCAATGCCTGGACCCGGAGCACATGCGGCAAAAGACCGCCAAGTGCGCGGTCTGCGCCATCTGCCGCTTCTGCCCCGCCGGCCGCGACGAGTGTTTTGCCAACCACCGCGTCTTGCGGCCGATGATCCAGCGCAGCCGCCCGCCCCGAGCCAAAGGTGCACACGACAAGTCGCTGGTCCCACGCTCACGCAGTGCCAACTAGTGTACCTCTGTGACGACGAAGAGCACCACCAGAAGAAGACGCACCGCGGCCGCTGCGAGCGCTGCCTCAAGTGCAAGTGGTGCCCGCCGCTCGTTGACGAGTGCAAGGAGTTCCATGTCGACCCCGAGACGTGCACGACACCATGTTCGGGTATACCGTCGCCAGACGAAGTTGCCTGTTCTTATATGCCATCGTAGTCGAACGCCAAGAAAAGACGGCGCGCCTCGAGTCGCTCCTCGCGATCCTTGGCGTCGACGAACACAAGGCGCAGATCATCAAGGCCAAGGACCTCCACGGACCTACGATCAAACGGCGACAGGCGAGCGACCTATTGCGGCAAATCGTACACCTCATCGCCGACCTTGTTGTCGAGTCGGACAAGGCCGACGGAGGCGCCGCGGTCGCCCAGCTCCTCGACGATCTCGCGGCCGAGCTCGAAGCCAACCCCATTCTCCAGCCGCATCCAGACGACGTATCGATGGAGGCGCTCCAGGCTACCTCGCAGACTGTAGATCTTTCGACGGACGGCGAAAGCCACCATTTAGCGTTCAACATTTAACGACCTTTTATCTTGTTCGCCGCCAAAATAACCCGACTTTAGGGACAGTAGCGACGGCCGATATCTTCCACAACCCTACTGCACAATGTACACTATTGCATTCTATGCGAAACCAAGGTGCTACCGAGCTGTCCCTCAGCAGAAAGTGCAAACTCGCATGGCGATCTTGTTGCAGCAAGGTGGTCCATTTCAGCCAATAAAATCGCATCATTTGAAAAGAGCGCATTGGATTGGCTGTTTTTCATGTCCGGGCGACCAGGCAACCAGTGTATATTGTTTTACTCATTTATATACCGCACGTTTGTCAAATCTTTTAAATTCCATATTCAAATCGTGATAATTTAAATAGTTTTCAACGACAGGGTGTATATTAATATGATAAACATTCAACTCCGGCTTTTTGGCCGTGCACACCACTTTGCCGGTCCGGAATTCGGAGATGGAATCGCTTGACCCGAAGCAGTACTTTGAGACCGAGCCGGCCGCCCCCACGTCGTACGTTGAGGCGCTAGCGCTCGAGGAAGACGACGATGACGACGGCGATGGCCAGGACGCCAAGGACGACCTTGGCGACGACGGCTCGCCCAAGGCGAAGAGGGCCAAGCTCGGCCCACCGCAGCGCCGCCAAGTCTACGCGAAAAAAGGTAGTCGTTGCCAAGGCTGCTGTTTACCACCTTGATCGATTAGTCAAGTGCGTGGACGCAGAACACGTCCGGCAAAAGACCGCCAAGTGCACGGTCTGCGGCGTCTGTCGCTTCTGCCCTGCCGGCGCCGACGAGTGCGCGGCCAACCACCGCGTGCTGCGGCCGATGACCAACAAGACGCGCGCGCCGCGTGCCAAAGGTATACTAGCTATCATCCAGCACCACGATCGTAGTACAAACAATATTGTCTAGTGCTCTTGTGCGAGAACGAGGAACACCACCACAAGAAGACGCACCGCGGCAAGTGCGTGCGCTGCCTCAAGTGCAAGTGGTGCCCGCCCGTCATTGACGAGTGCAAGGAGTTCCACGTCGACCCCGAGACGTCCATGACACCCACAAAAGGTACTGCGATCCTACTGTTGCGTTGGCACGACTGCATTTCGTAGTTAAACACACGGTCAAGCTCGAGTCGATTCTGTCGATTCTCGACATTGCCAAGGGCAAACTTGTCCAAGTCAAGCCCCGGGACATTGCGTCCTCGACGCCCAAGCGCCGGCTCGCGTGCGAACTCATGACGCACGTTGTGCACTCGGTCGCGCACCTCCTTGTCGAGCCGAATAGGAAAAAACCCGACGTGACCATCGAAGGGTTGAGCACGCTCTTGGACGACCTGCGGCGCGACTTGCGCGGCCATCCACCGGCGATGGAGCACTTTGTCGGTAGCCGCCACAGCAGCGGCAGCAGCAGCGCGAGCTCCGAGACGTCGCAAGTCATGTCAATTATTCTATGAAAACGTGATCAGCGCTGGCACACCGACACTGAATCTGAATCTGAATATGGAAGCCATTGGCTGAATACACGTGAGAATATACTGGTGCCACGGTGGGTGCATGGAGTGGTTCTTCGTAGTAGTTGAGGTGGCAGCGGAGTCTGTCTGTGCACGGCTCACGACGGTAGCTACGAGCTACTAACTAGCTCGCACGGAAACGCGAGCGATGATGCAAGTCCATGGTCTGAGATCGAGCGTAGCTAACCTCGCTCTGCCAGTTTAACTCGTCGCCAAGGTGGCCTCAAAGCGTGACCTCGGTCCATTGGCAATAGATCTTAGTTGCGCTTGCCCGCCAAAAGACTCAGAAAGCTCACCCAAGAGGACCAACGAAGCTTACTACAGTCACCGACATACAAACGTCCAGTGGACTGGAACGACGACCGCTCACAAAGCAACTCATCCGATGTATCCCACTCTTAGCAAGCTTGAGACTGGCACGAAGGGTCCGTCACAATCCAAATCGCTCTCGACATGGCGCCACTTCCCTTCTACCTGTTTTTGCTTCTATTGCCTCTTGCGCACGCAGCAGACTCGTGGCGCGCACTCTCGTTCAACAGCAGCTACCTTCTCGTGCGACAATCGTCGTCCTCGGGGCTACCGGAATGCCTCGCGAGAGACGGCTGCGTCACAGCGAGCCAAATCGCCGATCTCTTGCCGCTGCTCGAGCGCAGCAACACGAACGTGACAACAACGACCACCGCGTGCACCACCGTTGACGAACCGTTCGATTGGTGTCAACGCGCAGCGTCCGCGCTCTACAGCTGCCCAGCCCTGGCGGAGAGTCCCATCACGTGGAGCTGCACCTTGCAGAATGCAACGTGGTCGCCCAGCCACATGGCGTGTGGCAGCCGCGTCGTTCAAGGGGCGGTGTTCAACTCGATCGCAGACTGCAACGCAGCACTCCGTTTGCTCTTCTTGCCTGCGACTGCCGCCGACGTGGCGTGTGACATGGGCGCCATTACGCCTCGTGGTGCTGCGTGTTTGCTTCTGAACGACAGCGTTGGGCCGGCGACGCAAACTCGTCATGATGACGACGATACCTCCCCCGCAGGTAACGTCACATATCTGTGTCCGGAATTGACATGCAGGGTGTAGACCGACTCTTGCTCGTTGCTGTGGTGGTGGCGCTGGCTGTTGTCGCCGGCGCTATCGGCTGTGTGTGGCGATCGCGAAAGGTGGCGCGAGCTCAGCACCGCCAACGACACTTGGCCGACACCGTATGCTCGAGTTGCGAGATCGACGACAATGTGTCGAGCGTCTTTGTCCGTCAGTTGTAGTCGTCCTAGCATTGCTATCATCCTATATTATTCGTATTCTACTGTTGATTTTCGGGTCATTTACACATATACGTACGACACTTGTTGCGAAACGAGCGTGTACACTAGCCAACCCGATGATGCATATCTTGTCGTGCATTTGAAAGGCAAACATAGATTGGCTGAAAGGCCATGGATTTCGTAGGATTGCGACCAATCCTCGCAATGAACACTTTGCGAAACCATTCGGATTGGCCAAAAAAGTGCAATCTCAAATGAACCAATGACAGGCTGCGATACCCTAACCACAGCACCCGAGAGCGGACGGATGGCGCCACCTCACAAACTACTTCCTCTTTGTCCACGACAGTAAACTATTCGTGTGGAGTTGACTAACAAAATGTAAAACTGCTCTACTTTCTTCCCGCTTGTGCAGCATACACCGCCATTTTACCAAAGGTTCTTGCATTTTAGCACAGAGAATCAGCTGGAGAGACGCGTTGCAGCACGTTACTGACCATCGGGCGTCATCATCGCGAAACTTGCTTGGTATTATAATAGCGCCTGGGCGGCAGGAAATTACCTACCCCACGCAACACTAACTGTCATTTCTATGGTATCTACGAGGGTAGACTTCTAGTGCAAAGTTGTATGAGACCGCGTCGACCACTCGTCACTGCGGACGAGGATGCGTCGAGTTCAACCTCCCTTCAATAGTGTCCCACGTCTAAAAACACCCAACAATACAGCGGCAAGTGGCTTTAACAGCGTGCACCCGCCTGGCCAACACGGACGACACACTAGCAGGCAGTCGACAATTGCATATATGTGGGCTAGACGTCGTCGATGTGCCCCAGCACCAGGCTCAGTATGAATGCCGAGTGTTGAGAGTCGTAAAAGATGATATTATGTTGTCGCGGCCAGAATGACAAATGAAAATGAAAAATACGCAGCCAACAAGCTTGCACCAGCAGGAACCTTGTGCACGACTAGGGACGCCATCAACGTAGATGCACCCGAGAGCCAAACGCGCGCCAAAGACAGGGCTGAGTTTGCTTAAGTTGCGTGCGTTTAGCGCCGTCGCATCCGGATAGCAAGGATTTCCCGGATGCTTGAACCAAAAGCCATTTCGAGACAAGCAGCTCCTTCGCTGTAGCTCGGCTCCATCCCACGGCCGCGCATGATGGACGTCCTCCGCGCCGAGTCGCCGGGCAACGGCGTATCCGTCGACATACCGACCGAGCGGACGCCACTTGTCTCGCGCAGCAGCTCGCCCCGGACGCCCGTGGCCGGCAGCTACCATGCGTGCAGCCCCCACACGCTCGAAACGGCTTGCTACGATGGCCACCAGTACCAGTCGCCGGTCAAGGAGCCCGAGGGCTCACCACAGCAAGTCGCACGCGACTCGATTCACTTTATCGACGACGGCGACGATGAGATGTGCATGCTCCTGGAGGACTCGGCGTCGCACGACGCCACGCAGACGCACCTGCTCTTCCTCGACGCCTGTTTGGCCGGCGATATGTTTCAGGTCCCGCGCTTCGTGCTGAGCATGGCCGACTCGCATGCGCTGCGCGCGCTCTTGACGGCGCAGCACCCCAAGTACCACATGCACGGCCTCGCGATGGCTGCGTTTTACGACCAGACGCTGGTCGTCCAGCACCTCGTCGACGTCATGGAGCGGCATGGCATGCTCGACCTTGTCGACAGCCCCGCGGGGCCCGAGCGCCACAACGCGACAGCGCTCATGCTCTCGCAGTCCGTCGCGTGTGCGACGCTGCTCTTGGACGCGCAAGCCTCGCTCGCCAAGCGCAACTCGACCGGTACGCTCGGTCCTGTCGCCACGCAATACCATATGATACTGTAGGGATGACACCGCTGCACTACGCTTCCAGCGCGGGCCAAGCCGGTAACATTAGTCTGTACCTCTGCCGCGGCGCCAACGTCAACGAGCTCGACCATCGGGGCGCGACGCCACTGCACTGGGCGGTGTACGAAGGCTTCCAGTACGCTGCGCTCCTGCTCGTCGGGCAAGGCGCCGACATGAGTATCCAAGACTCGCAGGGCCAGACATCGCTCATGATTGCGGCGGCCCTCAACGACGCCTTTCTTGTCAAGCAGCTCGTCATCGAAGGTCGTCACCCACCTTGCATTGTCCAAGCGACGTAGCTGGAAGTCACTCGCTATGTAGGAGCACCGCTCGAGCCGCACGACCGAAAAGGCCGGTCCGCGCTCACGATCGCCAAACAAGCGAGCAACCGCGAGGCCATGCACGCGCTCAGCACGGGCAAGAACGACCGCTGGATCGCGTACATCTCGACGAACGGCGGCACGGTAGCCTTCTTCTGGACGTTCTTGCTCTCGACAGCTTTTCTGGGCATCTGCTTTGGTCTGCCAAGCATGGCGTACCCCGAGCTGATGCTGCACGCCACGGTGCTGCTGTTATTGGCGACGTGCGCTCTATACACCCACGTGTGGCTTGCTGACCCGGGGTACAAATGACGCGCAGGATGACCATGTGTCATGGTGTATACTAGGTTCATTCCCAAGTCGGCCGTGCCGGCGTACTCGCTGCTCGCCTTTGACTCGGACGTATCGCCGTGCCCGACGTGCGTGACTCTCAAGCCGATACGCTCCAAGCACTGCTCGACGTGCCAGCGCTGTGTGTCCCGCTTCGACCACCACTGCCCGTCATATTATTTTTTCTATTATTTTTCGAAATGGCTGACATTGCATGAGGTAGGTGGATCAACAATTGCATCGGCAAGCACAACCACCGCAGCTTCCTTGCGTTCCTCTTTTGCCTCAGTGCGCTCTGCTGGCTGCTCGCGGCCGCGTCCGGGCTCATCTTGATTGGCTGCTGCCCGCTGGTACGCTGGCACTCGATACATTGATAGATTACGAAGACGAACATTAGGTACCGGACGCGCCGGTTCTCGCGGCGTGGCACAAGTACGAGCCATTGTGGGTCTCGACGTTCCGGGAAACCCACGTTGGCTACACGCTCCAGCTGGTGCACATTTACATCTTCGTGCTCGCCATGACGTTTGGGGTCCCGACTTCGATCCTCCTCGGGTGCGTCCTTTTTTGTTTTGAAAAAAACTGAGAAACAGAGATGTAGGCTCCAGCTGCGCAACATTGCACAGAGCTTGACGACCAACGAAGTGTTCAATAAGGACAAGTACGCGTACCTCAAGGACGAATCCGACGCCTTTTACAACCCCTTCGACTATGGCGTCGTCCGCAACTGCGTTCGCTTTTGGCTCGGCAATGACGAACCTACTGTCGTCGACGGTCGCAAAGGCTCGTTCGTCTAGTCCGTCGCTAAGTGTCATTAACTCGTATCAGCCGCCGCATCTCTGCAATTTGTCGGCGTCGCGACACTGCAACGCCAACAGTCCTCGCTCGTCGAAACCTGCCTTTGCATGTTTGGATCTTGGCCCAAAATTATTCCGAGCGCAAGGCTTCGACCAACGGCAACTTGAAGCTAAACCATGATAAATGAGGGAAGAATTACCTTATCCCATGGCGGAAGTGATTGGCTCGCACGTTCCTTTGCATTGGTCGACAAATTTTGCTCGATATTTAGTCAGCTATCATTCGCAGCGATTAGTTCTGATAGCTGCGAGCACGTCCGCATGAGCGACGCCGCCGGATAGACGCCGCCGGACGCGCGGACGAGTTGCGTCGTCTTGTCGACGAGAGGATGATGAGGGTACGCTGTCGGTCGCCAGCGCTGGCGTTCGCGCCGACAAGCGTGTGTCGTGGACTGCGGGAATGGTGCCGTAACATCTGGATCTTCTTTCATGTGCTAGCCAATCACGTCGCTTTCATTTCATCCTATTCCCTTAAAAAGTACATTGACCTTCGTCGTCGGATCCGCGGACCAGCTGCACAGCGATCACTTGCCGATTTCACGGCTTCTAGCATGGCGGCTGTGCTTGTCAACCGCGACCTCTTGCATCTCGTGAGTTCTTTCCAGGACGGCGTCTACCCATCTCTATTGCGCGCCGCGTCGCTGCTCAACGCCATTCCCTTCTTGCCCAGCGTCTTGTACCGTACAAAGATCGCCGTCTCGGTCGCGACGCTTTGCCAGCTCGGCGAGGACGTGGCGCCCGTCCTTGACGACCCGAGGAGGCTCTTGGCGTGCCAGCCGCATCTTCACGTGCTCGTCGCGGCGCACGCATGCTGCATTGGCCATGAAGCGACGCTTGCGGCCTTTCTCGCGCACGCCCAACCCAGCGCCAAGCTACGCGGGCGGCTCCTCGATCTCGCCGCCGCTTGCAACCACGTGTCGCTCGTGCATCTCTTGCTGGAAGCGCAAAGCACGCCGCGTGAAGGTCTCGTGCTGGCTGCCGACCATGGCCATCGCGCGCTCGTCCCGTTGCTACTCCCCGTCTGCCTGTCGTCTGTACCGACCGCGCTCGAGGCCGCGGCCGCGGCCGGTCACTTCGATATTGTATGCTTCCTCCACACGCGCAGCCAGCTCGACCTGCGGGCGTCGCGCGCGCTGGACAAGGCTGCGATGCATGGCCATCTGGACGTTGTCCGGTACTTGCATGGCCACGGCTACCGTGCGACCAGCGCGGCCTTGGACCTCGCTGCGACGCACGGCCACCTTGCCACCCTCTCGTATCTGCACGCGGTCCGCACTGAGGGCTGGTCCCGTAAAGCCCTGGACGGGGCGGCAGCCAACGGGCACTTGGCTGTCGCGCAGTATCTCCACGCCCACCAGCCCAACATTCTGTGCTCGCCGAGCGCGCTTCGCATGGCCAGTGCGAACGGCCACCTCGAGATGGTGCGGTATCTTTACGTGTCGGCGCCATCAGCGGTGCTAGCCGACGGTATCGACTATGCAGCGGCCAACGGCCATCGCGGGATTGTGTCACTACTCCTCGCTCAGGATGACGCGACCTTTAGCGCCGCCGCCATCACCGAAGCGGCGCGCCACGGCCATGGCGATCTTTTGGCAATGCTTTTGAAGCGAGCGCCGTCGCTTGTCACGGACACTGCACTCGTGGCGGCCGCGGCCAAGGGCCACATCGAGGTCGTACACGCGCTTCGGGTGGCCGCGCCACAGCTACCCGTCGACAAGGCGTACGTGGCGGCCGTGACAGCTGGGCATACCGTACTCGAAGCGCTTCTCGCCCCTTGCGTGTCTGCGTCGACGCAAGCGATCGCACTGGAACGCGCGGCGGCACACGGACACCTCGCGCTCGTCAAGGTTCTCTTGGCCGTCGTGGCGCCATCAAGTTTGTCGGTGAAAGCATTGGATGCTGCCGCCGCGGGCGGTCATATATGTGTCGTCGCTGCGCTGCATGCGGCAGGGGCACCGTGCTCGACACAGGCGCTCGACAGCGCGGCGCGTCAAGGTCATCTGCAGGTCGCATCGTTTTTGATCCAGCATCGCACAGAAGGCGCTTCGATGGAGGCGTGGGACGGCGCAGCCCGGCGCGGCCACCTTGCGATGCTCCAGCTGCTGCACCGCCACGTCTTTGTCCGTGGTGGGTCCTTCAATGCCCTTCCGGATGCGGCGCGGCTCGGCCAAACCAAGGTCATCCGCTACTTGATCGAGCAGGATGCAGCGCATTGCGCGCTTCTCGCCGACGCCCTCACCAACGCCACCGCGCACGAGCACGACGCGGTCGCCGCGTACCTTCGCCAAGTGATTAGCGCCCTGCGATGATAGAAGTAGCCGAATATAGTTACCGAGTCGGTAGGGCCCCTTTTAGTAAATCTTTCATTATTGTCTCTAGTACATGTTAGCGGCGCACCCACCGACCCAAAGATCGTCAGTCAGCTACCTGCAGTACCGACTGCTCGCACTCTGACTCGCACTTGGGTGTCGAAATGCGTGCCACCGTACATCTTGGCGCGGTATTGTGCGTGGGTCCGGTACTAGGGCTAGGGGAGGTTAGGGGAGTTGCTGCACTGACCTATTTTGCACCCAGTAGCGCCGTGTGAAAAAATGGAAGCGCGCTGGCGACTGGCGACTGCGCCAAAAACCATCACGTTCGACTCGCTCGCTGGATTTAACTGATTTTTTGTGCAAATATTTCCACCCAGAGAAAATTTGTATCATTCCAAAATGCCATCCAGTGTCTCGGACGCTCTGGGTACTAAACTTGATGAATTATGTCTTTCTGGCGCGTCGATGACCAAGCGAGCCGACATGATGGGCGTCGTGTCTTATATTAAAAAAGCGGAAAAGGCTGTACAACGACGGAAGATAGTCTACATAGTACGATGGTATTGTGTCCTTGCACCGCGTGCAATGGTGTTGGGGTTGTCTACTGGAGTCCAGTGAATCGAGTCGTGTCCACGGTCTAGTTGCCTTCTTCGGCAATCGTAGTGAGTGGCAGGTCGCCGTACTTGGCGGCGCGCTTCTTGAGGACGCCCGCGGGGATGATGCTCCCGCGGGTCGTGAGTTGGTGCTGCCATTGCAGCACGATGGCTTCGTCGACGACGCCGTTGCAGTCGAGGAGCGGCGTCAGGTGCGGCGACGCCACCTCGAACGGCGACTCGTCATCGACGTTGGGCATGTCCATGTCGGCGCCGGCCTGGAGAAGCACGTACGTCGCATGCATATGTCCGGCGCGGCAGGCAAAGTGGAGGGCCGTGTCGCCATCCTCGTTCTCGGCAAAGACGTCGGCGTTGGCGTCGAGGAGTACGTCGCAGAGGCGGGCGTGGCCCTTGGAAGCAGCGCGCATGAGCGGCGACATGTTGTTCATCATAGCATCGACATCGTCCATGGTCGTCAGAAGCATTTGGACCAACGTAGGTGGCGCGTTGGCGTCGATCGCGTCGTGGACGTGGACAAGTGTCGGCGCTACGTGCGGCACGAGGAGCTTGACAACGTTCGTATGGTGGCGGCCAATGGCCACCTCGAGCATCTCGGGCGTCGCACGCGCACCACGCGTGAGGAGCTCGGCTGTCATGGCGGCGTGGCCAGCCGACGCAGCGAGGTACAGAATCGAGTGCGCGTCGGCGTCGGTCGCGTGGAGGTTGGCACCATAGTCGAGCAGCAGCCGGAGCGTCTCGAGTGAATTGCGCGCAACGGCCGTGCGCAGCGCTGCATCGAGGTCCAACGGCGCCTTGGAGAGCGCGCTGGGCTGCGACTCGTAGGCCACGTGCGACCAGAGCTGGCTCACGCGCTTGGGCAGGTGCACCGAGTGCGAGAGGACGGCGGCGTGCAGCTGGGCCGTCGAGGCCGCCATGTTGGCGGTGGTCGCCAGCGACGCGGCGAGCGACGAGAAGCCCGAGGATAGCATACGGCAAGTATGTAGATGGACGCGGAAGCGAGACTGCGCAGCAAGTTCATCTCGCGCGAGCTGGGACACGTCAACGAGGTTGCCTTCCGAGTAGCCAATGGCCAGCGGCGGTTGACACGAAGTAATGCGTAGTTGGCCGAACTTCGAAGGACGGTCTGTGTGTGCCACGTATGTCATTTTATTGGCGAATTCAATGTCTCATACAAATCGCAACTAGAACACATATATTAAAAAAAAAGAGTCATCCAAGAGGCTCGAGAAAGGGCCAGTTGATGGCGTTGCGCGGGAACGCTGCAAGATAATATCCGAGGGGCTGGGACCTCCGCTGCTGCTCGTACGACCTGCGGACGAGGTCCTTCGTAGCACCTTCCAAGCTTTGCATGGGATTTGTCCGAGCGCCAGCCTCTCTGACTCTCTCGTTCGAAAATCGATCGTGTCGACAGTTTGTAGCTTTGATGCTTGCTCCATGCGTTGCGACTGCCGACAAAACCCGCGGTACGATCGACCGGATCTGTGCAGACCAAACTGTACTTTGAAGGGTATCATTCCGTTCTGAGGCGAGAAAGCAACTAACAGTAAGCTCGGTATTTACATGTGCGGTTTGTGCTTGGTTGCCAGCAGAAGAAGCGCACAACCCAGAGCAAATGGATGGACGATTTTGTGAGTGCTACTATGAGGAGATGGTGTAGCGATTCCTCTACGACGCAAGGGCCGTACCGTGTACGAGGCCGGGGTACTCTTCTGGAGGTGGAAGGTGCAGTCGAACGCAGTGGCGCCATGGTCGCATGGCTTCCTGGCGTCGTCGCCCATCCTTCTCGAACGCTCAACGTGCATCTCGAGTGCTATCGTTTCTCTGTTCCGCTCATATATGAGGTTGCTTGGTCGCCAAAATGCAGAATGCAGGTGGGCAGCAATGTGTGCCCTTCTTCACTGCGGTCTCAGCCCTTTCCGCTGCCACTAGAGACTTAACGCTCGCAGAGTCGCCAGTGTAAGGTCCAAAGCGTACAGGACAGCAGACCAGTACTTAAGTGAACAGGCTCGAGCACTGGCCAAGCCCACAGGGCTGGCTACCTGCCCCGATAAAAGTGGTTGTTCAACAGCGCACTGAGCTGTTGAACCGGTTTAGAAATGCGGTTGAACCGTCCGCGTGGTGTTGCCACCAGGTATTTTTCACACGTGAAAAACACTCCGTGGTGCCGTTGATGACGGTTGTGCCACCGTGGCGCGTGCGATTGGCGGATTATAGATTCAATCCACGATGATTGGTCGCTTCGTATCCGGACAGCACGCGGATGACGAAGGGATGTCGATGTGGATCGAGTCACTTTGCCTTTCCGACTAAGACGTCAATAAGACCAGCAGCATGACGGACACGGTCTGGGACGAAGAGACGCAGACGTTCCACGGCGGCCAGGACTGGAAGTTCCTGACCAACTTTGTCGAGGACTTTAGCGTCACGACGAATGGCCTCGGCACGCCCGCCGGTGCGCTCACAGCCGCCACCGACGCCGTGCACACGATCCACCACTACCCGCCGGCCGACTTCCAGCCCGCGCTCAGCCACCTCTCGGCCTTTGTGTGGCCGGAGGACAAGGCGCTCAAGAACATGGAGCTGCTCCTCCTCGGCAACGGCGCGTCCGAGCTCATCGACCTCGTCATTCGGTCGGTGCCCAAGGGCGGGTGGCGCCCGGGTGGCACCTTGACGCAGTACAAGGAGTACGAGCGGTCGGCGAACGCGGACGAGCGCCCGACGCTGGCGTGGAACGACCCGTCGGCTGTCCTCACGTGTCTTGTGAACCCGACCAACCCGACCGGCGACTACATGCCGGTGGACGAGATGAAGGCGTACATTGAGACGCACTGCCCGGACAACCACACGATCATCATCGGTACTGCGTCCCATCTTAGTGCAACGACATCCTTCTTATTGGACGATGATGGTAGATGAAAGCATGCAGCCGTGGGTCGGCCCGCACTGGCGCAGCGACAGTTTGATCCACCAGCGCGAATGGGTCGCGCACCTCTCGGCGACGCGCAAGATTGACGTGTGGGTCATGACGAGCTGGACCAAGATCTGGTCGTGCACGGGCCTCCGCATCGGGTCGGTGGTTGCACCCTCGGCCGCGCACGCCGCCGCCATCAAGCGCAAGCAAGTGCCGTGGTCGCTCAACTCGATGGCGCTCGCGTTCATCTCGGCGGTCGTCAAGGACGACGCGTACATGAACGAGACGTGGAAGGTGACGCCGGCGTGGCGCGCCAACCTCGGATCGCAGCTCGCCAAGCACTTTCCTTCCTGGACGGTCCACGGCAAGCCGTACCTCTCGTGGGTCTGGGTCGACACCAAGTCGGTCGAGGTCGCGGCCGAAGCCACACGCCTCTCCAAGCTCCACGGTGTGCCGGTCCGGTCCGGCGCGCCGGGCTACAACCTCCCGACGTACGTGCGCATTGCGGTGCGCAATGCGACGCAGACCAACGTGCTTTTGCAAGCATGGAAGTCGCTCTGGGAGCAAAACTAAACATCAATCCAAAGCTGATGTGCATGGTGTCGACGTTGGCGAGATTGTCCTGGACAGCTCCTGCCGATCATAGATCGCGATAGCAAGCGTCTGCCCATGGCGCAAGAGAAGACGTAGTACGAAGTGAAACGAGCAGAATACAGTACGCGTGCTTACGATGCGTTCATTTTCGAGTCGAGGCGCTTGAACTTGCCTTCCCAGCCGCGAATGACGTCCGAGTACTTGTCGATGAGGTCGTTCTTGTCGCTGAGCTCGGCCTCAAGCGACTGGATCTCGGCCTCGAGCTCGTGCGCTGTCGTGGGCCGGCCCGGCTCGTCGAGCGCGAGGAGCTGCAACTCGAGCTTCTTGGCCTGGAAGAAGAAGTGGGCCATGTGCTCGTTCAGATCCGCCATGTCGGTCGAGTCGTGCTGCACCGGGTTCGGCCGCATCTGCGGCGGGTACTCGATCGGCGGGATCACGAGCGTCATGCAGCTCGCGAGCGCTTCGTTCATGTCCTTGAGCGTCTTCTCCATGGCTTCGAAATGAGACCGCGGCTGTCTCGCCGTTGTTTAAACAGATGCACAAGAGGGTTAAACCTCACGGCAAATGGGTTAAATCCATGTAGGACGCCATATTTGTCGGTAGGCTCACCGTCTCGATCGACGATGCGGCTCGTTGAGAGAAATAGCTATGGGAATGAAATGTGTGCGACTCGATCCGCTCGTTTGTCGTTCGCTGTCGTCAGCTTTGCTCGCAGCAAAACGTGTTTAAACACCTTTGGACGTGTGAGTAATACTTATTTTCAAGACTCAAAGTCATGTTTTTTAATTACAAGAATCAAATCAAGCCGCATTACAATCATGCGATTTACAAACCTCAAGCTATAGAAAAGAAAGCGCAAAACACGTCGGATTTCACATTAAAAACATGGAGCGATGGCAATAAAATTGCCGGTCCATTTTATTTCGCCTTTTCGAACAGCGTGGGGAGATGGCGTACCGAGTGAGCGAAGACGCGCAGGTGGTCATGGGCCTCCATGCAGCGCAGTACCCGCACCTCTCCGTGACCGGCCTGCTCGTTGGCCGCGACTCGGGCGAGGGCATCGAGATCACCAAGGCCTTTCCCGTTGCGCACCAGGCGCCGACCGCGCCGTTCCTCGAGTTTGCGTCGCTCTGCGTCGAGGCGTACGCAGCCGAGCTCAAGCTCAAGATCGTGGGCATGTACGTGGCCAACGCACGCGCCGACGATGTTTCGCTCGGGCCTGTCCACACGCGCATCGCCAACACGGTCGAGGCGCAGTCGACCCGCGCGTGTGCCCTTGTGCTCGACAACCGCAACCTCGCGACGCCGCGCCTCTTGCTCAAGGATGTCAAGAAGGGCTGGATCGAGATGGAGAAGCGCATTGCGTTTGAAGACGACCACGGCAAGGTGCTGCAGCGTGCGCTGACGCAGAGCAGCTTGTCGGTCGTGGATTTTGACGCGCACCTCGAGCAGCCGGCGACGAAGGACTGGCGCAACACTCAAGTGCTCTCGCTTGCCCGCCTGCAGGTCTAAATCTGCAGCGTAGACTCCATATCAATCGTATGTTGCGTATGTATCGATGTCGATGAGCACGGCTTGCACGGTCCACACAGCAATGTAGAGACAGACCTTCAACGCGGCGCCGCGTTGCAGCTATTCAAGCAGCAGGACGACAAGGATAGTCATCGGTGGCATGCGAGCGGAGCAAGAATATAGCCGGTGTGTTTGCCCAAAGGAAGCCGCTGCCGATGCATCCAGACAGCTCTTGATGGAGCCGACGCTGCTCTGTCAACTGCAATCTCGCCAGCATCCCATACTGTGGTGGTCTTGAAACACCCAACATAGACTTCTTCTGATCATGGGTCAATATATATCATGACCCATGTTCTGATGGGCGTCCCCTTGAGCCACGAAGCTTTCCGGCCATGTAGCATTTCGATGCAATTGGCACGGCAGCTTTATATTGGTACTCTACGACAAGGTAGCTGAGAGTGTAAAGCAACGCATTGGAGTCGGCAGGGGCGGATGCAATGTTGCGTGGAATTAGCCATTTCACAGCTCGCGATGCCATTGGGTAAAAAGCCGCCAATCCTCATCGACGGCCGGCAGCGAGATCATGACGACGGGCTGGGCGCTCGCGTACGGCGGCGCGCTCGTGCTTCGCGCCGCCAGCATCTTCTCCATGGGGATGGTCCATCCCGACGAGTTCTTCCAGTGCCCCGAGGTCATGGCCCGCGCCGTCTACAACGTCTCGAGCGCCTTTATTCCCTGGGAGTACCAGCCGTCGGCGCCGAACCGCTCAATTCTCTTCCCGTGGGCCGCTGCAGGCTGACCATTCGCCTTATGCATTCGCTGTGTGTAGGTCCCTTGTAGCCGGCATTCCATACGCTGTGGCCAAAGCGCTCGGCGTTGCGCCATCCGGTCTGCTCTTTCTGGTCGTGCCACGTGTCATCTTGACGCTGCTTTCGCTGGGCTTTGACACCGCCATCTACACGCTCGCGCGTACATACGATATCGACTACAAGGGCCCGCTCCTTGTCTTTGCCACGTCGTGGACGACGCTCGTCTTGCTCACGCGGTCGTTCTCCAACACGTTTGAAGCCTTCCTGCTCATGCTGAGCTTTGTCGTGCTGCATACAACGACACCGCGGCAATATGCTGGCGTCGTATCGCGCCAGAATCTGCTTCTCGGCGCGCTCTTGGCCTTGGGCTCATTCACGCGCTTCACGTTCCTCCTCTTCTTCTTCCCACTCGGCCTCGCGCTCGTCGCTTCCAACGACGCGCTGCTGTGTGCGTCCTTGGCCAAGAAGTCCGATGTCCACACGCCTAGCCCATTCCAGCGGCTAATTGGTTCACAATTGCTACAGTGCAAACGGTGCAGCTAACCTCTTGAGACTAGGTGTCGGCGCGACAGGTCTCGGGGGTGCCATCGCGTTCGTCCTCACGTCCATCGGCGTTGTGCTCGTCGACACGTGCTTCTTCCGCGGCTGGGAAGCTCTCTACGATGTCCCTTGCTTCTCCATATTTGCCATCTGATACGATACCGTCGTTCTTGTAGGTGCACTCATGGGTCGTCGCACCGTGGAACAACCTCGTGTACAACATGAACCCGGCCCACTTGGCAGCCCACGGCCTTCACACGCGATCGAATCACTGGTTGATCAACATGCAGCTGCTCTTTGGCCCGCTCCCGGCGCTCGCTCTGCTCTACGGCCGCCGCCACCGCCTCCTTCTCGCCTCGATCGTCGTGCCAGTCTCGCTGCTCTCGCTGGCGCCGCACCAAGAAGCGCGGTTCCTTTTGCCAGTGGTATTCCCGCTCATGCTCGCCAGTGGGCCCGCGTTGGCAGCGTCCAAGCCGCTGCAGGTATATCCAACGCAGTTTGATCTAGTGGCTATGATGGGGTTAGGGTCTATGGGCCGTCTTTAATACGCTGGTCTACTTGTGGTATGGCGTATTGCACCAAGGCGGCTTGGTGCCGATGCTCCTCTCGTCGTCGACGCCATACTGCAAACACATTTCCCTTACCAATGTGCATACGATCTTGATGTCGGGCACGTACATGCCCCCCCGCTTCGCATTGAGTCCTCGTACACTCCCCCAACAAGCATCTCGCGTGGCAGCTTATACGACATAGATGCGATTCATATCGTCGACGAGCGGCTTGAAGACATGCAGGCGCCGCTCGACGCCCTCGTGCAGTCGCTTCCCCGGTACCGAATGCATCAAAAGTTGAGTTTTGATCGAGTTGTATGGTATAGCGACGCGCGTGGGCGTACGGGGGCGGTGTTTGTGTACCCTGCGCCATTGGCCGCCGACGTGGAAGCCCTAATCGCTGCCATTCCGCACCTGGGCCTCGACACCACGGAACCCATGGGTAGTTAGTTGTTTCCGAGGCTGGTCCGAGTACTTGACGTGTACTTACTAGGCACGTGTGGTCCGTTCCTCGCGATGGAGAGCTTGCCGACCAACGTGTTGGATTTGACCGAGTGGTCGTTGCGGCTGCAGCATATTGTGGTGCGAGGCGACGAGTGAGCCGTGCTCTGTGATGTTAACGTCGTTGAGAATCAGCGTTTCAGCAGCACTTAGTAGTCTTGGATTTGGGATTTGGATGACGTATGTACCTACTGCCGCAAAGCCCTTGTCTTTGCAATGGCCTTTCGATGAGACTGCCGGTCAGATTCGATCGGATAGTCGGTCATTTGGCATCAGTGAGGTGCGTGCATTACTGGGTTCAGCCCTAGGTGGGATCATGACGGCGCGTCGTCAAGTGTATAGCGTGTAGTCGTCGACGAAGACGAGTAGCGTGTAGTCATTGACGAGGACGATATTTGTTTTCACTATTGGCTGAATACATCTCGTGGCAACGGGTTCTCGTCCAGAGCGACTTGGCTTGGACAAGGTGCCACTCGGAAGCGAGCAAGCCGGCAGGTACGTCATGTTGCTCTTCTTACCGCGGGTTCGTTGCATGTTCTGCGCACGTGCAACGATCAATGTATAGCCGATGGCCTCGATCCGTGTAATCCCACATGTTTTAGTAACGTAGTAGCTCTTGCTAATCCTAGTGTTCTGACAACGAATCGGATAACGCGGAAAATAGCGGGTGGTAAACCGTCGCCGACGCATCGAGTTCTGAGCGTATGCGGTCGGCTACCCGAGATGCTTTGGACTCGGAAGGCTCGTGCGGGATTGATCACTGAAGATGGTGGGTCTCTACATTTGGGTACCCTAAATTGGCTACTTGATGCTGCAGTCGACAGGCCTCGGGACTGGTATGCAGTAGGATTCCATCGTGAAGCTACTCTGCTCTACATTACTGATCGAGGCAATGAAGGCGCGTCATTCGAACGAGACTCGTCCCGTCGTCCTTGACTGTCTCTAACGCCGTGTTGGCAATGATTATCTGTCACAGAGCAGGCACGGGGTACGAGCACTCCCCCGCATCTTGGTCGAACCCTGTTCCTCGGATTTTCCAGCGTCAAGTCTTTACAAGCCTAGCGTTGCACGTGGTTCGCATCAAGCCCTCAAGGACACGGTCGTCGTTTACTTTTGCACGAGCGTGTGTACCAGATGATGGGAAATCGAAGGCTTCCGCTGCTAGAGAGCACGTGCAATCTCGATGGCTTTGCATGTGCAATGTCGGCCAACAGCTCGTAGATCTTAGTTGACACGCTCCTACTGGGACAAGATACCAAGCGCAATCAAGTTCTAGTCCTTATCGCAGCCGTACTATACATGAAAGCGGTTTTAACGTTGACAAATCGTACACCTCTGCATCGACGTCGCGTCATGGTAGGCTAGTCGGTGGTGCTGGCGCGGCGTCATCGGCCCAAGGTGGGGAATGATGGAGCGTATCGTCCCACCGGTCATCCACCGAACGTCACAAGCATCGACATAGCACCAATCGAATGCGCGGCACTCGGCGCGGGTGCGCTGTGAGCAACGATCTTGTCCTTCTTGAAGGTGCCTCGCGTCTCCATCTGTTATCGCTGTGGCGCGTAAAACCGTCTACTGTACAACTAGAGAAAGGACACCCTTCCTTGCCATCGCAAGCGATTGATCACTTTTGGATTCACCTCCTCCTCCGCTTCGGTATCATGACGCTGTGTATGTTTAACGGCTGCCCCAACGAGGCGCTTCCGGGCCCCGGCACGAAATGCGACTTTCACAAGAACCGCAAGATGTGCGTCGTCAAAGGCTGCTCCAACCAGGTCTACGCCCGGAATCTCTGCGTGCGCCATGGCGGCCGCAAGGCCTGCCGCGTCCAAGGCTGCACCAACACGGTGCGCGGCGGCGACCTTTGCTTGCACCACGGCGGCCCGTCGCCAAAACGCTACTGCACGGTCCAAGGCTGCCTGCGCCAAGCCCACGCGCGCCAAAAGTGCGTCCGACACGGCGGTGGCAACGTCTGCAAGGTGCCGGGCTGCTTCCAGTACGGCCGCGTCCTTGGCCTTTGCCACCGGCACAACAAGAGCCAGCAGCGCGACATGGAGGAGCTCTACACGAGCGATGACATGATCGACCACTCGATCCTCTCGCTCCTCGTCCAGGAAATCCCGTGGACGCGCATGGACTGGAGTGCGCCCGTGACGCCCGCATCGTCCTCATCGTCGTCGTCGCCATCGTCGTCCGAGCATGGCACGAGCCCCTCGTCGTGGCTGGCGCACGAGCTGGAGCCGATGCACATCATCTGAACGACGTCCGTGTACATTGTGTGTTTTCAATATTATTATGGTTTTGTGTACAAATTGTCTCGTTTTGGTTGACTCAACTCGGCGCCTGGGGAGACGACGACGGTACTCGATCGAATGAAGCTGAAAAGAGGCAACGATTGTACGAGACTTTGTGGTCAGGGTCGTGTTTTGCGACTTGCGTCGATTGACCGGGTGTGGACATGTAGATACTGTACATCTCAGGTCGTGTTGACGCCTAACTCGACGTTGACGCTGATAAAGTTCCGAGGATGTCAAGGGTGTCGAAGTAGTCGGTGGGAAATGACTCAATCAGGGCGGTGTGATGGTGCGAATGCTGGAAGGACGAGCTTCGTCGTTCACACCGGAGGCGAGCGTTCTCGTGGTGCTACACGGTTTTGAGTTTGAGTTGTTCTTCAGGTATTTTTTGCGTTTGTCTTCCCATCCCAGCTCTCTGGACTAGCTTTTCATCCCTGCGGTGGGCTTTGGCCAGTATCTTCACTATGCAATCAAACGTTATCTCGTGTGTGGCCAACAGTGAGAGACGCTCAACGCCGGCTCTCTATTGGTAACATCGCCCTCACGGTGGCGATGAGGACGCCACCAAAGTGGGTGTCGAGGCGACATGAAGTGGGGACCATGCACGTCCAGTCACAGAAGACGCTGCCAGACCTTCGTACGGCTGTTGTCAAGGCCTTTCACCACCTTCACGTGCTCGTGCCGCTGCAATGCAGGCGGCAACGACGGCCTTCGAGGTCCTCGCACGCAACCTGGCTGGCTTGGTTTGCACGTACAAACAGCGGTCTCCGTGTCGGCTTTGCGACGCTCTGAAAGAGTGTGGTCGCGATAGAACGCCCGGCCGCTGCCATGGAAGTACGAGGGGTACCTTATTTGGCGTGCTCTTTTGTACCAGGCTTTCTCCATGCCTTTTTGGGTGCCAAGCCACTCACGTGTCTCACACCTGGCGTCAATATGGCTTGCGTACGTTGCCTTTTCGAATCTCTGAACGCATTTATGCGCCTCTTTAGGAACTCAGGTGGCATCGACGTCTTCGGTGGCATCTGCGATCCAATCCACCTCGTCGGCGCGCACTTGTGGGGTGCTCAAACAGTCTTACTCGTCGGAGCAGCTCGTCTAGGCGTACCCTGCGCTTATACTCGGTACACAAGATGGCGGCTTTGTCATTGGACTGTACTAGTACCGGTTTTTGGCCACTCGTACATCGATCATTTGCGGCGAGGGGCGAGGCGAGCGAAGACAAGGCACATATCTCCCAGCCTCGCTTACCTCGATTCGCTCAGCTGGTCTCAACGCGATGTCGTTCTCACGACAAAGAATTCATCTCGATCGAACTGCTGTGGCTAAGATCTCATAGCATTTTGACCAGCGTTTCACAGCTTCTCACCGAATTGTTTACCGATAAGGCCGAGATGTGCCTTTTGGCCGCGGCTATAGCCTTCGCACGGCGTATGTTCGATACACTACTTGAGCGGCGGTGCTGCTTCCTTGTCGGGTTGCTAGGGATAGGGTTGTCATGTCCAGGGAGCGCTTCCTAGCGTCCCACAGTCCTATTGCAGCCTATATATTTCTTTCGAACGGCCACCAAACGACTCTGCAACGATGGATTGCTGTCGTCTTGCCGTCGTCCAACGATACTACAAGCTAGCGGTCTCTTGTGTCGATCTGGTTGCTGCTAACAGTTGAAGTTCGCCCACGTTGTTATAACACGCCATATTGCTGTTGGTCTCCGGTGTTATAACCAGATGTCCAAGATACGGCGTACACTATTTGCGGATCGCGCATTGTGGGCTCTATATTTGTATTTCGATACAACGAGGCAGCACCGCATAATAGTGTACGGATTGCGCCTCAAGAACGGGAAGATCTGGCAGGCCGGTCCGCGACGACGACGACAACCACCATGGCCCAGCAGCTGCGCGTCGTGCTCCTCGTGGCGCTGCTCCAGCTCGTGACGAGTGAGCTCCACCAAAGCCTCTTGGCCGTGTGCACGGCCTGGGATGGCGTCACGTGCCCGTTTGCCACCGCGGCGCCGCTCTCGCCACTCTGGGACCGCCGGTCGCAGACGCTGTGCAAGGTGGCTTGTCGCCCATGCGTAGCGTGCTAAGGCTACCGCTGTAGGCGTCCGTGGCCGTTAGCGTCAAGCAGATCGACTGGCAAAGCAACCTCATCACGGGCAAAGGCCTTGTGCGCAGCGTCAAAGTCAATGGCAACGAGCTGCTGACGTCGCTCGTGTATCCGTCCGATGCGTACGTGGCGCCCAACTACCCGCACTGCGACGACTGGTACGACGTGCTCCCGCCCCACGGCAACTACATCTTGCCAGGGCGCGGCGGCCAGCGCTCAATCTTGCCGTTCATAACGAACGCGACATTGGCTTTTCAGATTGAGTTTGAGTGGACGGGCGACCATAGCCAGCGCCACGACTGCTCGTTTGGCGGCATCTCGTACGTGGGCCTGGCCCAAATGGACGTCTACTACGAAATCCAAGACGACAGCGGTACGCTCTTCTGACTCATCTTGTCTTTACCTTCCTCGTCGTGCTTGTGGGTAGCTTGTCCGGGCTGGCACGCCGCGACGCATTCGTGGTGCTCGGGCCACGGCCAATGCGACTGCGCGGCCAGCAAAAGTGCCAACCGCACCTGCCTCTGCCAGTACGTTCTTAGCGTGACGCGTTGAACGAACTGCATGCGCCTAGGCCGGGGTACGCGCCGCCCGACTGCGCCAACTGCATGGACAACTTCTACGGCCACGCGTGCACGCTCGAGTGCCTTCCGTGCGAGAACAATGGCACTTGCAACGCCGGCCCGGCCGGCGACGGCGAGTGCACGTGTGCCCCGGGGTTCGACCCGGCCACGCGCTGTGCAACGTGCCTGCCGTCGTTTTTTGGCCCGACGTGTGACCCGTGTCCGCACTGCCACCACCCGCACGGCAACTGCAACGACGGCATCCACGGCAACGGTCTCTGCTCCTGCGCAGTCGGCTACAACGCGTCGATCAACTGCGCCGACTGTATGGACTCGTTCTATGGTCCCGACTGCATTCCGTGCGAGTCGTGCCATACGTCTGGACGCTGCAACCACGGCATCGCCGGCGACGGGTCGTGCATTTGCTCGGAGGGGTTCTCAGCCGACTCGCGCTGCACGCAATGCTCGATCAACTACTTTGGCGCCAACTGCACGCGCTGTGAGAGCTGCCACGGCCGCGGCTACTGCAACGATACGCTGCGTGGTGACGGCCGCTGTCTCTGCGACGAAGGCTATACGGCGACCTCACGCTGCGTGCGCTGCAAGGACGGCTGGGATTTCAACCCAACTACTATGAGCTGTCAATGCGCGCCCGAGCATTTTGGCCCGCACTGCCGGTCGTGCCCGATCTGCAAACCCCACGGCCGCTGCAACGCCGGCAACGACGGCGACGGCCGGTGCATCTGCGACCCGGGGTGGTCGGCCTCGACCAACTGCGTCACGTGCATGGGCGGGTATTTCGGCCTCGACTGCCAGATTTGCCGGCGCTGCGGCCAAGGTCGGTGCGACGACGCACTCCACGGGTCGGGCCACTGCGTCTGCCGCGAAGGCTGGAGCGCGTCCTCCGACTGCTACAACTGTGCGGAGGGGTACTTTGGCAGCAACTGTGCGTCATGCCCCGAAGACTGCGGCCACGGGACGTGCAGCAGCGGCCTCCTCGGGTCCGGTGCATGCTCGTGCCATCCTGGTTGGGCGTGGTCGGCGGTCGCACCGTGCACGACGTGCCTCCCCGGGCACACGCTTCCGCATTGCTACCTCTGCCCCGGCTACACGGAGAGCGGGTTGCCCTGCAACGGCCACGGCACGTGTGTGTCGGGCGACGATGACGCGGCGTGCGTCTGTGACGCGCGGTTCAGTGGCGCCGGCTGCGAAGTCTACGACTTTCCACTTGCGATGGTGTGTGCCATGGGCATGCTCGCGCTCTCGTCGCTGGGCTTTTGCATGTGTACGATGCGCCGGCTCGCGCGCCACCCGCGGTACCCGCCGCTGCACGCCGGTGGCTTTCACCGACGCTACTCGACCTTTACGGGCGCGTACGTTGAGATTTCCGACATGAGCGACTTGGAGTTTTTTGTGTCGGCCGACTCGCGCGACTGGCTCATCCCGTTTGAAGCGCTGACGCTGCAGCGGGAGGTCGGCAATGGCACGTCCGGTCAAGTGTTCCAGTCGCTGTACCACAGCGGCGGCGGCAACTCGGTCGTCGCGGTCAAGCGCCTCTACAGCCCCGTGACGGGCCAAGAGTACTTTCAGAGCTTCTTTCGTCGCGAAGTGAGCATTTTGAGCAAGCTCCACCACCCCAACGTCGTGCGCTTCTATGGTGTGAGCTACTACAACCGCGTGCTGTACATTGTGACCGACTTTTGCCGCACGTCTCTGAGCGCGCTAATTGAGAACCTGTCGTCCAGCGACCCGTTCGAGTCGAGCTTTTTGCTCAGAGTCATGGGCCAAATCACGGCCGGCATGGCATTTCTGCACAGCCGCAGCGTCGTCCACCGGTACATACCTTTTCGTGCAAATGGGCGTATGTTTCAACTTGATACTAGCGATCTCAAGCCCGCGAATGTGCTGTTGAACGACACGGACGACATCAACATTTGTGACTTTGGCCTCTCGCGGCTCATTGACCCGGAACAAACGTCCATGACCGCCGAGGTACCATCGTGGTATTTGCGGTCTACAGAAAATATGACACTATGCTAGGTGGGCACGCCGAGTTATATGGCCCCCGAGATGGCAACGATGGGCGCGACGCTCTGCTCGACAAAAGGCGACGTCTACTCGTACGGTATTCTTCTCTACTCGATGTGGTCTCGCAGCAAGCCGTATGGGGACCAGGGCATGAACCCGTTTCAGCTGGTACGCGATTGACCTATTGTACAACGTTTCTACTGATATTCTATCAGATGACGGCGGTCGTCAGCGGCTTGCGACCGGTCATTCCCATCAACTGTCCGCCGGGCCTCGCACGGCTCATGCGGCAGTGCTGGGATGCAAACCCGCTGAGCCGACCAAGTTTTCCGGAAATTAGCCTCCAGCTCAAGGACCCGACGTTGCTCCAAAGCGCGCGCGTGCGACCAAGTCCATCTTCTACACCTAATTAACACAACACGTTTACCATGCGCATTGCCAGATCGTACAGTCTCCACTTGCGTGCGATGAAGCTGCCACCGATGGAGGTCTCGGTTCATCTCATCGCCCGTTGTGTGCTGACCTGGAGGCTGGGACACTGACACCAACATCCTCGCAGACGTCGTTGGTTCAAATATAACCGTGGTTGGTGCTGGGCACTCTTGCAGCAGCAATGGTTATTATAGCTTCATAATTTTTTACATCGGGAGGGGTAAAGCTGTTGTCGTTTTCCCCGAGCCTTAGTCCGGTCACTGGCGCAGCGCGGGAATACCACGCGCTTCCCCCAGGGGTGTTGGAAGCCACGGGCAGCGGTCGCTGCAACAAAGATTTGAAGAGTCGATGCTGGAATGGACCAATAGCAGGAGCGTCGGCTTTTCTCTGGCAGATCCGGATACGCCTGTGGCTGAGATTTCGACGAGCGCCGAGCTCAAAGCCAGAATCGATCTTCGACGAGGAAGCGGATGAGGGACGCCATTTGCTCGTCAGCGCAAGTGACGAGCGATCGTGCTGCGCTGCCCGGCAACGTCAGCGAGTGCACCGGCACCTTCTCCAGCGAGTCAAGTGTCCACGTGATCGCTTCATTCGCTGGACCAGGTGCCGGTGCACTCACTGACGTTGTCGGGCAGCGCAGCACGATTTCTCGTCACTTGCGCTGACGAGCAAATGGCGTCCCTCATCCGCTTCCTCGTCCGTCAGAAGCACTTACGTGGTGAAAGCGCTGTGGCACAGGAATGCACGACGAAGCAAGGAACCAAGCCACGCGGGTTTCGCCGTCCAGCGTCGACAGGACGTCCCTACAGCGCAAATTGCAGAATGAGCAGCGCTCACGTTTTCTTCAATTGTCGTTAAAGGTATGCATTTTGCTTTTGTTTGCTCGCTTTTACCGATTGGGCGTTTGCTCGGAAAGGGAAGACTGTCACCACCCACGTTCTTGACGTCGCTGCTGCCGATGGAGTCGTCGAGGAGCTTCGTTCCTAATTTTTGTCTCTCGCTTTCGGTGACATGGAGTGATTTCAGAGGCCTCGAGCAGTGGGGTGCGTGGGTGGTTTTCTCAATCGTAATTTCACCAAGTCCTCGCCGTCAATCCACCCATGCGACCGTCAAGGGAGTTGGAGTACGCACTTTTCGACGTCGGACTCTGAAGCAGATCCTGAAGATTGGTGCATAATAGCAGCGCATCTGATTCAAAATGGCGTCAAATGAACCGTCACGAGCGCCGTGGCGATGACGAGACTTTATTGTTCACTCGATAAACGCTGTCTCTTGGCATCATGTACACTCGCAGCTTGATCCAACCTACTGGAATTGGCTCTCTCGTCTGAGCGATCTCTCGTCTTCACAAAAGTACAGTCATACTCAGAAGCCAAGAACTGTGTGCGTCCACCCTCGAAGTCCGAAAGTCCGATAAAGTACGCTTTTCCGATCCTAGTTTTGCAGTTTGGATTGCGATCAGTTGGCGATTTGCATCGTCCTGTGCACAAACAAAGAGGATGCCACGGAACGCCGTCCTGCGCGGGATCAAGCGACTCATGTACAAGAAGGACATTGCGGCAACAGAGGCCGACTACGGCGTCTCGATCCGCGAAGCCCACCAAGCGTACCGCGAGGCCATTGCCGTTGCGCGCCACGAGCTCGAGAAAAGCTTGGAGGCTGCCGCGCTCGACATCGATCGCGTCATGCACCGCCTCCGTGACGCCGGCGACGAGGTGAGCACGCACCCCGATTTTGTCGCGGCCCACGAGCACATGAATGCGATTCGGCTCGCTGGCGCCAAGCGGCTGGCCGACATTGACGACGAGTTGCAGTCGAGCCTTGAAGAGCTCAAGCGGTCGTATATGGAGAAGATGTCTTCGTGGACATAACGCAGTTTTGCTCGTCTGTAGTCTAAGTAGGTACTAGTAGTCAGTTTAAAAACGTGTATTTCGTGAGTCGCGAAGCTTCAAGCTTTTGGTCGGCATGGGTGCGACGACCGGTCTTTGCAAGCGTTGATGCGACAGTGCGCTGCGCTCGCAAGCGGACGTCTACGACATCTCTTGGGTGGTGCCAAGTGCAAGTAGGCGTTTTGTCCTTATTTCACGCGAGCCAAAGCGCACTTAACCGAATTGAAGACGTTGAAACTAGGATATTGCATTCGGCCACGCCATGTGCTTGCTTGTCACAAAACGACCGTCGACTTTCTCACATCAACTTATCGTGACCTTTGGCTTTCGTTCCGATCCGACTCGAGTCGATGCGTCGACTAACTACAGTCATCCCTGCAGTCCACTGAAACGCGACGAGTGCCAAGCGCTCCATCGCTCGCGTCGACTTGTTTCAGCAATGGCCGAATGAGCCGAGGAAAAAGAACCGGCCAACTATCCATGAAAAGACATCAAGCCGTTGCGATTCGCAGATGCATGTATCCATCTTCGAATCGCTCTCCTACTACGCGATGACTAATAAATGAGCGATGGCGAACGGTGCATCAATCCGCGGTACTTGTATTCTCTTGATAATGATGGACGCCTGTGTCTGTCCTTAGCCAAGACAGCGTGGGACGTGCCCATTTCGCGCCGTCTCCATCGATTTCGCGTCCCGACCGCTGCGCGTGATTGGTAGCAACGTTAGAAAGCCGCCCACGCAACCCTGCACGACAACTGCCAAAGGTCGACTACTTGATTACTATTTTACAGTTGATAGCCCCTGGAGACTATTCCCAAGGCCATAACGTTTCCTTTATGCCTTGCTATTACCATAGGGATGGGCTGCTTTCGCCATCGAGCACATCCAGACCGCGAGTGGAATGCCGGCGAAGCCGCCGTTTGCTTGGCATCGGCGAGACAGGACCGTCTCTTGGGTCACGAGGCGTCGCATGCCACCGTGTCTTTTGCAATCGTCGGCCACGACGCCTCGAGGCGAGACCGACTAGACCACTTGTACTATACTAGTACTCTAGTTAGTTGCTTTTTTACTGAAATCTCTCTGGTGGCGCCACGACAGCAAAGGAAGAAGGCTCGTGAGGTCATATCAACCCAGAATATATAATAGATGATCTACCAACGTTAGCATGTGCACGACGGCTCGGGGCTAGCCACCGCGTTGCAGCAGTGTGTTGCAGAGGCGTTTCTGCTTGATTTTTCAAAATCAAGTGTACGAAGCTTGATCGACGACGCTTAGTAGACCTTTGAGGGTTAAGATGGCGTCGTCCGCCAAAACGCAACACACAAATCGGGTCGTCACAGGCCTCGTACTACCGTCTTATTAGCAAACCCACGGTCGGCTCAACGGCGTGCGGCCGGCCGTCGACGGCGCCTTCTCGGTACGGTGCTGTTTCTTTGGTTTCTTGAGCGCCTTTGGGGTCGATATGCGTTCGTGCTTCTTGGCCAAGCGCGCGGACGGCAGCACCGTCACTTGCTCCTTCCTCACGCGCAGTGCGTCGAGCTTGGCGTGCACGGCCGATTCGGCTTTGTGTGTGATGACGACCTTCATGCGACCTTGGTCGCCATGGAGCGTGTCGTCAAACGTCGACGCGGCGGCGGTGGATGGGGCTTGGAGCGAGCAGTTGCCGCGCAGTCGGTGCTCGTTGACAAAGTTTTGCAAGTCGGCTTCGCGGACGCACTGCCGCGCACAGAGCTCCTTGAGCTCGACGTACTTGGCGTGCGTCTGTCGCCACTCGCGCTCCATGAGCTGCAGCTGCCGCTTCAACACCGCCGACGCCTCGAACGGGACCGGTGCTATCGACAACGATGATGCTGGCAGCAAGAGTGACGGAAAGTCCTGCAGTAAATCCTCGAGGCGGACCTTGAGCGGGGAGGGCGGCTGCGCGCACCACTCGTCCAGTGATTGCTTCCACGCGCCGATGGCTTCGAGGAGAGCAAGATGATGCGAGGAGGACGGTGGTTGCTCCGAGTTGGGTGGCGTCTCGGGCTCGGTTTGGCTCGCTTGGTCCGTAAGGCGTCGTGGAGGCGGTGGCGCCGTGACGGCGGGCAACTCTAACGCGGGTGCTGCTGCTTGCGACGTCGCCGCGAGCGTTTGGATTTGGTGTTGAAGCGCTTCCATCTGGCTCGTCTGGCGACCATGGTCTGCGAGAAGCGACGCCATCCGGGCTCCGTACGTCTCGTTGGCCTCTTGGAGCTCGCGCGCGTGCGCGTCCTGCCGCTCCAGCGCCCCTTCGAGCACGTGGCATCGGTTCTGTAGCGCGCTGACCTGGCTCTCGAGCTCGCGTGTCTTGTCCTGCTCGTCAAGGAGTTGGCGCATCTTCTGCAGCGACCGCTTCTTCTCGTGCTCGAGGAGCGTCTCAAGCTCGAGAATGCGCTGCTGGTACGGCGTCTTGAGATGCGAGGCTCGGCTGCTGTACGACTTGGCGCTCGCCGACCGAGGCGAGAGCTGCTGTGGCCGCAGCGTCGACGCATACGACGACGACGGCGACCGCGCCTGGTCATACCGGTCGACCGACTCGAGCAGCATGGGCACATGTGATGTGGCCGTTGATGCGGCCATTGGCGGCGGCGATGACGATGGCTTGGTCGGCGTCTGCGCGAGGATCTCACCGGACGGCAGGTAGAGGAACTCGACTTGGTTGATCTCGCCAGTACCAGCGCTGCCGAGCGAGAGGAGCTCGATGGACCGCGTCGGGTCCAGGATGACGTCGCGGGATCCGTGGAAGACGCGCCGGCTCGGGAGATGGCCCGTCCGCACCGCCGGCTCGTACATGGGCGCGGCTCGCGACCGCATGCCGGTCGATTAATTGCTGGAATTTGGATTTGGCCATCCGGATAACAACCGATTTGAAACCGGACAGCTCCGCTGCCACCATGCAGGCCGCCACGTCCATGAGGCCACGGAGGCAGCCTCCGACGAGGCGCTTGACGCTTGCGCCTTGGTCTGTAGAGTAAGTAAAGTCCATCAGGCCATGAAGATGTAGGCGCTGCCTAGGCCATCGCCTGCGCTAGACCACCCGGCGGCGCGTCAGTTCCCAGCCATACACGATCGTCAATGCTTGCGACGCTGCGATAAGACGCCACACGTCCACCGCTGCGCTCTTGCCGCCGCCATCGTTGCACGGGCTTGCTCGCTACGACGCCTTCCACGAGAGTGACATGAGATGGAGAAGCGATTGCGACTACGCTACAAATGGTATGTTGCTCGAGCTCCACACGCTCAGCGACAGCCGCCCGGAAAGGGTTGCAGAGCCCGTGGGCCGAAGGCTACGAACATCTCGACCCTAACGCAGCGCCAAGGCGACATCAACCCGGCGGCGGTGCGGATCTTGGCAAAACCTTAAAAAATACAAGTTTGGATGGTTCATTCTCCTATGCTAGCGCAGGTCCATTGCGCCCTGTCGCTCTGGTGTGAACCACGTATTCCAAGTACACCAGAAAATCGCATGTCTGTATCCTGCCTGCATTATTGCTTAGCAGGACGACGAGACGAGATCAAGCAAAATCGATCGGTGGGACAAGGGATAGGGTTGCTACCCAACCATGAAGCCGCGAGATCACGCAGAGGCTCCTCGTGCCAGAGAGCACAGCATCGACAGCGATCTTATCTTGGGCTGCTTGTCCCGAGCTGGCATCACATCGCACATTCAAAATGGAGCGTTTTGCGATCCCGACTCTACTCCTACTACGAGTCGCTTTGGCCTGGTGATGCAGGATCCGCTTGCTTGAATATCCGCAAGATACGAGGTCCCATCGCATGGGTCATCATCCACCAAGCAGCGGCAGCCTGCACGGAGGTAGAGACGTGTGGCCACCTACGGCACTGCTCCTCGTGTGTTGCCATTTGACATTTGGCTACGAGAGCTCTAAGAGAGCACTAAAGCTGCTAACGTGGGCTCCGTCACCTGCAGCCCTCTGGGCACTACTGCCACTCAGTATATGCCAAGACAACCGACTAACTGAAGGTGGGCCATGCGAGTGCTGCAAGACGAGGAATAAATGAGGTTCACACCAGTTTGTTGTTACACGATCGCCCAACTAGAAGGCAAAGCAGAGCGCCAAGACGCGGTGCGCTGCCTCCAAGCCAAGACGACACACGTCGGCGAGACGTTTAACGGTACGACTTCTGGAAGCGAGCGCGGGCGCTGGGACCGCCGAACTTCTTGGCTTCGCAGCGGCGGGGATCCGCGACGAGGAGCGTGCGGTCGTAGTCGAGGAGGATGTCCTTGATTTCCTTCTTCGAGGCTTCATCGACGTACTTCTGGTAGTACGCGACGATGGCCTTGGCGATCGCCTGGCGGATGGCGTAGATCTGCGAGGTGTGACCACCGCCCTTGACGCGGACACGGATGTCGACCTAAAGATATGCAGACAGCTGATCAGTCCCCGTTCATCCCGAGCATCTTCGATTCCAAGTGCGACATCGGCGGATGTGCAATCATTGGACACAGCACGCCGCCAAAGATGGCGGCGGCACACAGTAAGATGTGGACCAAGACAGCTACCAAGGCGCGCCGAGACAATGGCATCTCGTCGCGCCCCGATGCACACTGGAGGACGTGATCAAGGCGAGGTACGTACGTTGGCGAAGCGCTGCTGGCCGAGGAGGAGCACGGGCTCGTACGTCTTGGTGCGGAGGATCTCCGGCTCGACGAGCTCGATGGGGCAGCCGTTGACCTTGATGAGGCCGTGGCCGCGCTTGCAGTAGGCGACCGCCGTAGCGTTCTTCTTGCGGCCAAAGACCTGGACCGATTCAATCTTGCTCGCGCCTTCCATGATGTTACTGGTGTGTGATTTCCGGAATGACACTGAGCCAGCCGTGGCCGATTCCCTCTTTCTTTTGATATTTTCAAAAACCTCTGGCAACTGATTATCTCCGCAGTGCCCCACCAGCCATTTGGGGGTCGGGTGTTTTATACACATGCAAATGTGTTTTCAACAGCCCCGTACGTGGCAGCGGCACCAGCAAGGAGAGTGTCGAGGACAGAGCGATCGACGCATCATGAGCTGCTATGACTCTCGACGAGGCAGGTAGTAGAGTCTTGTATGTAATCAGGCCTGGAGAAGCAAAGGAAAGAGGACGATGCAAGGATGGGTGATGGCGAAGAGAGCAACTAGGAACTCTGTTAAGTTTGCGAATTCGGGTGCTTGCAGTGATGGTTGAGCGTACTTGAGTACGGGATCGACGCAGCGCGTGGTGCCGCTTTTGAGATAGACCCGCATACGAAGGAGCTCTAGTACCGTCATGCTGCACCCCCGTGTCAATGCTGGATGCGCCCTTGGCTCGGTGGTACTTTGAAACACGCATCGAGTCTTACGTTTGTACTACTTGCGTTTCGCGTCGCGATGCCTTCCTTCTTGCAGTGTTCTATTGCCAGCGGGCGCGTCACCGGCGCCCGAGCTTTTCTGTTTGGCATTCGACTTGGTACTGGCTCATTGTTGTGGTCCTTGCCCACTCATCGTGCGGAAGCCTCTCTTTCCGCGCAGTATGCACTTTTCACGACGTGCAGCACGCGCGCTTAGCCTTTGCGCTTGCCAAGGGATACCATGGCCGCAGAACTCGGACACTTGTATTAGCTCTGCGACAACCTCCCTTCCTTGCTCTACCAATGCTCGCTTCGCTCCTCTCACACACTACTACGCATGCTACGGCATGCTTTTGGCATCAATATATATAGCATCGTATCCTAGAATCAACATCGCTATAGTCCTCGCTCGTCTCTCTTTCGTATGGGATTCCCTTGCTCCTTCTATTGCACTTGTCCTGGTGCTCCCACTTGCATTGTTTAAAACACAACTGATTTCCAACATAAAAAACACCCGCGGGCACCAATCGATTGCTTCGGCGTTGCTGATTGGCCAATCGATTTGGACCAATGAATACGGCGGTGGTGGGCTTGGCCAAAGCACAACCCTTTGCTAGACCAGCACAAGCAAGCGACGATGCGTCCGTTGACCGATGAAGAGATGAAGACCGTCTTCGAGAAGATCTCGAAATAGTATGCACGAGGTCTATGCATGGGCTAGGGCTAACTAAAGTCTGTAGCATTGGCCGCAACGTGCAGCACTTGGTCGTCCGCCCGGACGAAAAGTTTTGCTTTCGCCTCCACGGCGACATTGTCTACTATGTGAGCGAGAAGCTCATGCGCCAGGCCACCAACATTGGCACGGACCAGCTCCTCTCGCTCGGCACGGCGGTCGGCAAGCTCACGAAGACCAAGAAGTTCCACCTCCGCATCACGTTCCTCGACTACCTCGCCCAGTACGCCAAGTACAAGGTGTGGATCAAGCCCAACTCGGAAATGTCGTTCCTCTACGGCAACAACGTGGTCAAGTCGGGCCTCGGCCGCATCACGGAAGGCACGCCGCAGTACGCCGGCGTCGTCGTCTACAGCATGAACGACGTGCCGCTCGGCTTTGGTATCGCCGCGCAGGCCACGGAAATGTGCAAAGATCTCGACCCGACCGGCTACGTTGTCTTGCACCAGGCCGACATTGGCGAGTACCTTCGTGTGGAAGACGAGATGTTTTAAGTTATTGGCGTCCATGCGAATATATAGAATTTGTATGACTACGCTCAAATTGTTGCCGTAAGGAGGCGTCGCGACAGGGTTCGAAGGGCGTTCGCCTTAACCTCCGAATCGTCAAATGCTGGATTCGCCGCGAGAGCAAGCAGAGTCTTGATCGAGAAGCGGATATTTGTTGCACTTGAACTTTGCTGCGTCAACACCCAAACTACAGGAGTGTCTAATAACACCCACATTTCCGTCCATGGCAATCTGAAAGAAGGCACTACGGGCGAGTTCCCTTGCGTCTGTACAACAGCCTCTCCAACGTGATCGACGGGAAATGATGCTAATAGCCCTGCAACATACCGTCAAGGAGAAGCCACCTGCACTCGAGGCGCGTTTGCTCGCGTTGTACACGCTCTCAAGCAAGCGAACAGCCCCGCCACTTCAAGCGCTGCAATGTGGGTGAAATTAGCACCTGCCATTTTCAGATCCACCAATCAACAACGTTGTCGAATGCGCTTTCTAGCCAATCGCCACGCGATCTGTGTTTGCGCCAATCAAGCAAGCTGGCCTTTCCATCACCAGGATGAACTCGAAGGAACGCCGCCCGACGCTGCTGCAGCACTGCGTCGCCGGCATTGTCGCCGGCGGCTTTAGCACGGCCGTGCTGTACCCACTGGACCTCGTCAAGGTCCGGTACCAGGTCCACGAGCAGTCGCCGCGCGCGTACAAGTCGCTCTTCCATGCGTTCACGTCGCTCGTCAAAGGCCCCGGCGCCACGTCGTGGCACTGGCGCGCCATGTACCAAGGCATGAGCCCGGCCTTGTACGGCACAACCATGTCGTGGGGTCTCTACTTTTACTTTTACGAGCACGCCAAGACCATGTACGCCACCTCGTCGCTGCCGCCGTCGATCGGCCATTTTCTCTCGGGCATCCAAGCAGGTAGCCGCGCTGCATACGATAGGAATACGATCTGATAGACTCTATTAGGCGTCTTGTGCGTGCCGCTGACCAACCCAATCTGGCTCATCAAGGTGCGCATGCAAGTGCAGGGCACGGCCGTGCCGTACACGAATGTGGCCGACGCCCTCCGCCGCATCGTGGCCGAGGAAGGCGTCCGCGCCCTGTACAAGGGTGCGGTGCCGGCGCTCTTTCTGACGTCCCACGGCGCGTTCAAGGTACAGACTTAAGGACTTCGGATTGCTGATCTATGCGCATCTAGTTTGTCGCGTACGAAAAGCTCAAGTCCGAGTACACGTCGTATGTGAGCCGGGATATGGTATGTACAGCATTGTCTTATCCGGAAGAGACAATATGGTATTCTTTGGTAGTCGATTCCCGCGTCGCTGACCATCGGCGCACTCTCGCAAGCGTTTGCGTCGACCGCCACGTACCCGTACCAAGTGATCAAGGCCCGGCTGCAGCAAGGCGGGCCCGTCGCCGACAAGTATTCGGGCACATGGGACTGCACCAAGCGCATCATCAAGTCCGTGGAAGCCATACATGTCTCTCGGTTTTGATGCAATGGTGCGTAGGTACGAAGGCATTCCGGGTCTCTACAAGGGCTTGACGCCCAACTTGATCAAGGTGCTTCCGAACGGCGCGCTCATCTTTGCCGTGTACGAACATGTCTCCAAGCTGCTCATGACGTCGTCGGATGCAAACGTGAGCGTCTGAAGACGTTGAGAGCTTTTGTGCTGACTAGACTATGAGATAATAGCGCTATATGGATGTCTGCAAATCGGTTGCAATAGTTGTTGACACCAAGCCGAGACGTCGTTGCACGTCTTATTCATGTCGTCCTGGCGTCGATCCTCATTCGGTACCTACCCACACCAATACACGACACAGTGCACACCTTACTAACTACTTGACTCAATGTTTGCAAAGACAATACTGTCCATCCATGTTGCGAAGCGATGGTAAAGACGGACACATATACACAACTCGTCTCGTTCTGAGCTGGTCAAATTTGCACTACCCACAGTTCTACTAGTGGTCCATCGCTCTTCTACGAAACCTTGCAAGCATATTTGATGAATTGTGCTCTGGACGCTCACCCAGTGCGCTGCCTCTGCAACATGTCGTCGGTGCTGCAGACTGATCGATAGACTGATAGCAAACTGAGATACATAATGGGATAAACAAATACAATCTCAGCATCGGCGAGGACAACGACCGGCTGCGGACGGGCAGTTATAAGCTGGTTTGATGCTAGAGACGCTCCAGTCGTTGTGAACGAGACAGCATCTTTGCGAAAGCGAGGGGCCTTGGTCGCCAACCCTGAAATTTCATCGGGTTTTGCGTCACGCCGTGTAGCTAATGGGCGTGAATCTATCCATAACATGCTATAAACTGTATGTGATGGCTAAAATCCCACAGTTTGTAACCAGCTGGTGGTCTCGGCAACCCGGACACACGGCTCATTTCCACAGGACGGACCTTGCAAGCAGGATGGCCTTCCTTGGCCTCGAGACGCTGGCGCAGAAGAGTATCTTCTGCGTCTACATTGGCCTCTGGGTGAGCTACGGCCTTCTGAACGAGTACGCCAAGCGCAGCCACATCGAGTTTCACTCGGCGACGGCAGTCCTCGCGCAGTGCGTCGTCAAGCTCGTGCTGGCCGTCGGCCTCTTCACGTCGCAGGACGGGTCGCTCGCCAAGATGCTCGAGCTCTTCCAGCTCCAC